ATTGGGTAGACCTTAATATACGATCGAGCCGTGATTCCGACCCACCAAGACAATTTCGAATCGCCCACCGGATTGCACAGTGGATGAAGGATATAGGATTCGTCGACGTTGAACAACAGACCTTCAAAATCCCGACAAATACCTGGCCAGAGGATGAGAAGCTAAGGAAAATCGGCGCTTGGAGTAAGAACAATTGGCTTGATGCTTTGTCCGGGTGGTCATATAAGCCCTTTCTTGCCCTTGGGTGGTCGAAACCCGAAATTGAAGTCTTCCTCGTTGATGTGAGGAAGAGTATACAGGACCGAAGTGTCCACGCTTATATGGACTTTTATGTGGTGACAGGGCGGAAGCCCCTTCCCAATGAAGGTATACCTGCTTCATGAGTTCATGTTATCTCCGCTTTCTTGTTATGACTGTCCTACGGTTTATCACACCGTTCCTCTCCGAGATACCATTGGTGGGCAAATTTTTGCATGCATTACATTGGCGTTGTTTTCATGATTGCAATTTATCTCTTTTTGTCTTCTATATAAATCCATTTCCATACCTACAGATTAAGTTAAGCGAACATTTGATATACATCTGAGGTGGTCTAACCAATCTGGCTTCGAAAGATCAATGGGCCATAAGATGATATAAAACCCATAATAAAAAAAACAAGAAAATAACAGCTAAACTAAATGCTACAAACCAAAATATGATACACATGCAGGTGATAATGGAAGCCCAAAGATTGGCCCGTTGACTGGAGCGAGCCGTGATTAGTCATCACGCCAAGAATCGAAAGCTGCCATGCGAAAGTTGATCCCGAGTGCTCGCGACAAGCCCAAGACAGCAATCGGCCTGCACATGTCCTAGCCAACCACATGTCTTTCGGCAGACATGTCTACCGGCATGCTCTAAAGCCGCCAGCTACTCCAACACTTGAGCATCCCTGGATCAGCGATGACCTACTCGCAGCCACGTTTCGTCGCTTCGCCAACGGTCAACGGCGCCATGGGAGCTGTGTTCCCGGGCCATTGGAAGCACGGAGACGCCTTGCAAAGCGAAGGAACACCGCTCTGGCGAGTATAGGGGGAGGACCAGCTGAAGATATCGCGTGCCTGTTTGGCCGCAATGGGAGGGAGCACATGAAATGGACCGACCATCCGTGGCAGAGAGCGCCATTCGAAACCCAGAGTATGTGGCCAAGACACGCAAAGTCTTTTGAGTCTCCGCTAATCTTTATTTGAAGGCCTCGCAGATCATTCTTTGGGTCCTCCTGAACTACCTTTCTCTTTCTCCGACCAGAACCCAGCGCCTGGACCCCATTCCACTCATGGCCCTCCGTCGTACATTGCCAATGCAGATCAAGTTACACGCGAGCAGATGCTGGAGGCATTCTTGGATGGGAAGAATTGGGGCATTGAAGATGTAAGGGATTTCACTCGTCGGTTGAGAATTGACCTCCACCGGGAGCCGCGATACAGCCGGCAGATATTCGAGCGGTTACTTGCTCGTTCAGACCCAGATCTTACAGAAGCAATTGCGTTCTTGGATGATCCGTTCCTGAATACCCGGGGATCGGGAAATTATGCTGCAGCTGTCGAAATATTTGTGCGAACAAAAACGAAACGCGGCAAACGGACTGCTGTTTTGAATGCGATCAATCGGGCTTTAGAGTTGGGGTTGATTTCAACCGATGAGATCTGTCTGATTATTACTGCTTTACCCAATATTATCGTCGAGCGAAACAAGACTCTGGGATCGTGGGACCATAAAGCTTTGTTGAAGCACTACCGGGCGATGTGGAAAGCCATTGGATGCTGTAACATCCTCGGATACCACGATCTGGACAGAAACATTGTTGATGCTTGGCTTGAAGTGCTCTTGCGTACTCGCAGCTTTCGTTTTGCCGAGGAACTCATCATCGAAACCCATGATGCAGAGAGCCGCAGCCAGTGGCCTACTGCTTTGGTTCAAGCTTGGTTGGAATCTATGGAAGTCGATTCGGAGACCAGCTTGCCATTTCCAGACAAGATCTTCAGCCAGCTTGATGTTAACAGCGCGGCGGACTGTGTGATTCGTGTAACCGAGTCATTGGCATCGTCTTCAGCAGACAGGGACTCCAGAAACCAATTGCTTGAAAGATGGCGGGATTGCCTCTCAAATGCCGAAGTCATTTCGACTGTTGCAAAGTCACAGGTCTGGTTCGATTTCCCTCTCCCGTGTGTCCAAACACAGATCAAGCATGCCCCTCTGAGCCATTCAACCCAACGTCAGATAATTTTGCGACTCTGGCTTCTACGAACGCTTGGTCGATCCACTGGGCCCATGTACAGCAAAAGTTCAAGAGCAACAGATCAACCAATCTGCTCATTGCTAAATCTATACGAAACGTTGATCCAAGGTACCAGCGGAATATTCTTTCCGGACTTTATGCGGGAAATTCATGACCTCGATCTCCCATACAATAGCCTTCTGATCCTAGCCCTCAACAAAAAGGGCAAAAATTCCATTACCAAAACCACCCGCAAAACCCTTGAGCAACTGGAGACCTGCCAGCTCTCTCTAGCAGAAGTGTGGACAAACCCATCCATATATAAGGGAATACAAGGTCTTTTCCACAGCACATTCGACCAAATGTTCCACTGCATGGATCTCACCAGCCCGGCCACAGTTGAAGAGCTCTTGAGTGTTGTTCGATCAGGAGACTCAAAGAGCATATGGCCCATCCTCAGACTCCTCAACAACAACACCCCATTTAAGATCAGCCTCCACAAGGCCTGGCAGCCTATCCCACACCCCGACGATAAGGTCCTCGTGCGATACCACCCAGGCCCGCGAAACAGCCGATGCCCTGATCCCCATGCAGCGGTCGACCTCATAAACCAGCTGGCGGTTGCTCTCTCCTGCTGCAAACACTTGACTCCGTCCCAGTCTTTCCATATGGTTCACTGGCTTTACGGATATCTTCGCAGACACGGCGGGCCCGTGGATCCAGAGTTCGTGCGGGCCATGTATCATGCTGGTGTTGTCCGGTACCGACGTGACGGTCGCCGTATCTCGGCTACTCAGTATGAGTACATTCTTTGGATTGTCCGCAAGTTTGAAAGCTCTGAGGTTGTTGAAGAGCTCACTGCTTTGCCTCAGATTGGTGAATCGAGGCTTGACTGGTGGTAGATGTGTTGTGCGAATGGATATCTACACAAGGGAATTTTCTAAAATAGAGCGATACGATACCCCTGCTTCAATATAATACATACCTTGCCTAGAGGGAGGGTGCTGAGATGAGCATACAATTTACATGAAAGCCACATCAAGTTTCTGAAAACTCCGATTTCCTGTCCGGCCGTAACTGCTTGAAACCTTGTAGTAAACCCCACAACAGTAAGCCCGCGGTCTTTGCCGAAGTACAATCATACAGAAAACATAGTGAGATAAGAAACCCATGCGTGCATTAAATCAATCTAAGAAGACCACTGGTCAGTGCATCTCCAAGAAAATCTAAGTATCAACCTCCATGCTGTCCCCAGTAGCAAGGTTATCATCACCCGACAGCGTTTCGATCGTAACATATTTTTTCATATCTTCCTTGCTGATAATCCTCTGGTCCAAATAAGCAGTGGTACCGCGGGGGAAGCGGTAGTTGCGCTCCTTCTGGGGGCGCTCGTTGGGCTTCATGTAGTTGCGGAGCAGCTGGGTCGGCTGGTCCTTCTCGATCACACACACGTCGACATTGCTACCAGAGCCCAGATCGTTGAAGATACCAGCCTTGATTGCCTCGGCGCAGATGTCGATGGCGCCCTGTCGGTCCAGGTCTGGTTGCCAGGTCGACTCAAACACCGACATCGCAGCCAGCGATCCGGATCCCATCGTCACATACGGCAGCTTGTCTGTCGATCCATGTGCGTGCACAGTGTACAGTCCGGTGCCGGTTGGGTCCACGCCTGCAACAACCAGGTACGCTCCGATGTGGCCCTGGTACCGGAAGAGGTGCTGCTTAAGCATCGTCATACAGGTGATCACACGGGGGTCGCGGCCCGTGGATAGCGAGTGCAGTTCGACGTTAGAGCTGATGAGCGCAGTGGTGAATTCGGTATCGGCAGCGGTACCGGCTCCAGCACACCAGATCTTCGGCGCGATGTAGTGAAGCTTCTCGCAGTTCTAGAGACAAAGGATGTTAGACCCTCTAAAAGGATACTGTACATAATCTCATCGGTGTATCTTGCCTTGTCTGCTACTATAGGGCCGCTGGTAGCTCGGGTATCTGCTGCAATCTGTTATGGCGATTCGAGTCAGCTCCTGGGTCACAGCTCTTTTGAATCTCCTTGCATCTCTTGGGACCGTACCACAACACCCTTATCATAGATGCAGCCCACAATTGTTGTACCGGTACTTGTGGCCTTGGGAAGGGGAACACCCCTGGCGTGAAGCGCCGCATTGCGGTTGTAGTTTGTGAAGTCGAAGCCCGGCATCGTGAGAACGCTGGTGTTCGCGACCAGCTGAGCTGATTATCAGGATAGAGAATGGGTATAGGAAGAAAAGAGAGCGAAATTCGAATATGAGAGGAGATCGAGAAGGATGGATGGACGAATGAGGTAGCAAGCTGGAGATGGTGAAGAGGAAGTGAGCTGTCTGGAGTGACGAAGCTCCCGCAGCCTAAATTGGAGCCTCAATTATCAGGCATAAACAAGGTGTTTTTGCCGGACCATCATTTTCGAATTCAATGCTTCTTTATGTAGTCTCTTGTGACTTCGCTCTTTCCAACATTTTGCGCGTCGGCGATACCCGTTGCGTCCATTTTTACTCTCTGTCTGTCTTGTAATTCCCGGGAAGCCACGCAAGCTCAAGATTTTCGCGCATACTCTCAGACTCTCTCCCGGAGTCCTAAATCACTCCGTCGACGCTCACTCTCCACACCTCCCAACTCACCCTCACCTAATGCTTTCAGACATAACTCTCCTCTAAGCGAAAGCACACGTTCTCCTTCTGCGACATTCAATTCCGAAAAGCTCAGAATGGCTTTCAACTTCGGTGCGTCCAACCCTGCTGGGGGAAGCGCCTCTGCGGAGCTTGGTTCAGAGCTTCCCGATGTTTTTACCGATGTATGTCCAACCCGCCGCAGTTATAACTCACCGCCATCCTGTCTAACATAGCTATAGGAAGTCGGTTTCAAAGGAGTCTCCGGGGACGCAAATATCCGCTTCCTTCCAACGGCATGGCCCGACAACGCGCTTCCTGCTCCTACTTCCTCACTTCTGGCTGTCGCACACACCAAAGGCCTCGTTGTTGGCGCTGGCCCAGATGCGCTGGTAATAGGTACAACTGATGTTGTCAGAAAGTCCATCGAGGCGCCAGCTGGAGAAGATATGGAGAAGACGAAGCCATTCCAGCCTATCGCCACAATTCCCCTTCCTTCTCGTCCTACTCATGTGGCATTCACACCGGGCGACGACGGCTTGATTCTCGCCACGGAGAATGGCTCCACAATCTCGGTTTTCGATACAAACACCCTCACACAAGGAAATGCGCAGCCAGCGATTTCAATTCCTACGAATGGCGTGTCGCTACGAGCACTGGCACCAAACCCTGAGCCTTCCTCGACACTTGTCGCGCTGGTCACCGTTAATGGCGAGCTTCTTATCGCCGATCTCAAGGCTGGGAGCCTAGTTCCTGGACCCAATGGCCCGGTTCTCAAGGATGGTGTCAGCTGTGCTTCATGGAGCAACAAAGGAAAACAACTTGTTGCTGGATTGGCCGATGGCACTGGATACCAGATGACCCCAGATGGAACGAAGAAGGCTGAAATTCCTCGGCCATCTGACCTGGAGGGAGATTGCCACAGTAAGTTTCGAATGATTGTCAGAACCAAATATGTGTTTTTGCTTACGATTATACAGTTTCATCAATCGCATGGCTTGAGAACGATGTTTTCTTTGTGACATACACACCAAATGTTTCAGAGGATGATATGGGAATGAACCCAGCTTCTTCATACTACATCATAACCCGCCGCAAGCAGGCGCCGTTCCTCATCCAGAAATTGCCAGAAGTCTGCTCGACTATGGGCTTTATGCTGAAACGTGGTCCTGCATTCCAATTTATCACCAGAATTAGAGAGTACAAGCCTCACTTGAGAGATGTCTTGATTGTCGCGTCAACTGCGTCAACTGATCTCGGGCTCATTACGCGATCTGATCAGCCTCTGGCCAACGATGAGCGAACCAAACTTCATGTTGGTCAGTTCATGACCACAGAAGTAAGCGACGACACCAAACGTGCTAGTGTGCCGTTGAAGGACTCTGGAGATGAGACATCCGTCATCGGCCTGGCACAAAACTTGTCAGCCACGGAAAATGTCATTGCACCGCTTCCAGGTTCTGATATCTTGGAGAGCTCGACGCCCCTTCCTGGGGTTCTTCTTCTAAATAATGATGGTATCCTTTCGTCTTGGTGGTTCGTTTACGCTGATTCCATTCGCCAAAATATCCCATATTCGGGGTTGATCTCGTCTGGTCAGGCAACTCAAGCTCCCTCTCAGCCACAGGCTGTAGCTCCAACCCCGGCACAGCAACCTGCATTTGGCCAGTCATCGTTCGGAGGTTCATCGGCATTTGGCCAACCAGCTTTCGGGAAGCCAGCTGGAGCTTCCGTCTTTGGTAGCCCATCTACCTTGGGAGCTTCAACCATGGGTGCAACTGCTTTTGGAAAACAAAGTGCTCCAGCATTTGGTAGTCCGTCCCGGCTTGGTGGAAGCCCTAGCCCGGCCTTTGGAAAGCCATCGTCCCCGGCCCTTGCTCCCGCTTTTGGGACCCCCTCTCAGCCGGGCGCATCATTCGGCACTCCTAGTACCCCTGGACAGCCACAGTTCGGGAAATCTGGATTTGGGGCTATAGGATCTGGACAGTCTACCTCCCCGGCAAACCCATTCGGTGCCAAAGGTGTAGCATCTGGCGGTGCTGGCTTCAGCGCCTTCTCCGGTGGAGGCGGCTTCAGTGGCTTTGCAACAGCAAAGCCGGGGGAGTCACCATTCGCAGCGAAACAGCCAGGTGGATCACCGTTCGCGGCCACACAGTCAAAAGGGTCGCCCTTCGCAAACGCCTCTTCTGCCTCGCCCTTTGGAGCCAAGTCTCAAACCCAGACCTCATTCCCGCCTCAAGCATCCAATGAAGTCAAGAATCCGTTTGGCGCCGCACAAGGTGGCTTTGAGCTCAAATCTGCCTTCAAGGGCGATGGTTCGGCTGCCAATGATGGACCAAATGCAGACAAATCTTCTTCTGGTGCGTTCTCATTTGGTGGCTCCTTTGATGAGATGGTGTCAACGCCCCGCAAGGGAAGCTCATCACCGAGTGAATCAATGGATGACACTGAAGATATCGAGCCTGTGAATAAGGAGACATTTTCAATTTTCGGCGGGGCAAGCAAACCTGCTTCACAGACTCCTACATCAACGTTCAGTTCAAAGACAACGCCTTCGGCCGAGAACACCAAGTCGGCATTCTCGATGTTTGGCAGTAGTGCTGACCAAAACCGCGTGACCAGCCCATTGTCAGCACTGTCTGATAAGACAGAGACACCCAAGAAGAATTGGCCTAACACATCAAGTCTCGATGTAGAGGCACCATTGCCACCAGATCCTACCAGCCGGGCTAGTTATGCCGCTGGAGATACTTCTGCTTCTTCCAATGTGTCGAAGTGCTCCGCCGAGGATGTCCCGCTTCCTCCCGATTTCACTAAGGCGAAGAAGGCTTCACCAAAACCTGAAGAGGACGCCCCTCTACCACCCGATTTCCTCAATCAGAAGAAACCTGCCCCCAAGATCGACGACGCCCCCCTTCCTCCAGACTTCCTAACAAAGTCCAAAAAGGTTGAGGCTGCGGCTGTTCCCGACGACGCTCCCCTTCCTCCAGACTTCCTGACAAAGTCCAAAAAGGTTGAGGCTGCGGCTGTTCCCGAGGAGGCACCTCTGCCTCCTGACTTCACCGCAAAGCCAAAGACCAAACCTTCCGAAGAGGCAGTTCCAATCCCTGATGAATCTGATGAATCGGGTATCTCCGATGCAGATTCTGAGGCCGCAGCCGGGTCAGACTTCAGTGATAGTGGCGAAGAAATTACACATGACGAAGCATTAATCGCCAAATCCAAGCAGTCAGCTCAGAGCTCGTTTGATGCAGCTTCCGAGCAAAGCTCCACCGGAGGATTCTTCGATAGTCCTGCTCGCAATGTGAATGACAAAGGCCGCCTTCCCCAGCAGCTATTTGGGGAGATCCCTAAGCAGGCACTGCTCCCTCCCCCGGTCTCTATCGCGAAAGGTAATCGTGAGCCCTATCGGTCACCGAGTCCAGTTCGGGTCGGAGGGAAGAAGAACGTGCTATTCTCCGAGAAATCACACAGCCGTAAGGGGTCCACAGGCGCATTGCATTCGCGTAAGGCATCTCTTACCCATATCGCCCAGCGTAGCGGCCACTTGAGAAAAGCCAGCGATGTTGCTCGTGAGGAGCGTGAGGAGCAAGAGAAGCAAGCACGTGCACATGCAGCAGCTCAAATTCAGGAAGATGATGTTTTATCTTTGTCAGACGATGACGAGGACGATAGACTTCGTGATGAACTGGCTCAGCCCGTTGAGCCTGTTGATACCCTGGACCCATTCTTGCCCCACCAAAACTACATGGGCGACACTCCAAAGCCAGGTATTGCCGGACAGGTAGAACGGCTCTATCGTGACATCAACTCTATGGTAGATACCTTGGGTATAAATGCTAGGTCAATGGCAGGATTCCTTCTGTACCAACAGCCCAAGAAACTCTCTGATATTGATGAGTGGGTGATCGTCATGAACGGCGACCAGCCCGCTGACATTCTCGACACCAAGATGACCTTCAAGGACATTGAGAGATTTGAAGAGTTGATTGCTTCAATTTCGCGATCATTGGACAACCAGCGGGTGCAGGGGGTGGATGAAAAGCTCGATGCATGCCGTGACCTGCTCACAAAGCAGATTGTCACCTTGCGAGGCCAGTTCGCAAGCATTCGCAAGACTCTTGACGCACACACTGACATCGGCGCTATTCTCGAAGCACCACTTTCCGCTGAGCAAGGTGCGCTCCAACATGATCTGCGCACCACATTCACGAATATCCAGGTCGAGATTACCGCTCTCGAACAGGCAGTCTCTCTCCTGCGTGCCAAAATCGCCGATATTCCGCAAACGAATGGCGGAGGCAGAAACCGACCAACCGTCGAGGCTGTCACCAAGACTATTGCTACAATGATGAGCATGGCCGAGGGAAAGAGCACAGACATCGATGTTCTCGAGGCACAGATGCGCAAGCTCGGCGTGGACATTGTCTCCACAGGGCCTCCAAGCCGTGAAGGCTCCCCATTCTCTACTCCCCGCAAGAACGCCGCTGGCCGTATACCCATGACTCCTGGGTCGCGAGGCTCGATTGACGGTAGCGCCTATCACACCCCCGATTCCGTTTCACGCGGTCTCAACTTCCGGGCCAGCATCAATGGCTCTGTGAGACAGAGCCGTCTCCGCAGCGTGGAGGGTGCTGGTGAGCCTGCCCTCCCGCAAGAAGATGCCATCCAATATAAGGCCAACAGGTCGCGTCGCCAGCGCTTGAATGCCAACTTGAAGAAGGCCTTCGAGGACAAGCAGGCAAAGGTGCGCAGCGTCGACTGGTAGATTCGGTCTTTTTTTCTGCTTCGCTTTTATTTGGGTTTTCTCTAAAGATTCCGATCCCATATTTGGGGGAATTTGCTTTCAGCGTGGATTGTTATTTGGTAGATGGTCTTAATTGGACCAGGGAGTCATGGCATGCAGATACGTATGTAGCGGATCTTTTTTCAGCGTCACAGTGAGTGGCTAAATTAACTATCAAATTCAAACCCTATTATCTACATGCAGTTATTTGCGTCAGCTTAGCTCCTGCCGAGGGCTAGTTATTGTTAAGTGTAGGATTCTCATTTGGAACTTGCTTTCGTCTTTCCGACATATAAGTCAGACTTCATCGGCTTTGTATCTTGAGATGTATCCCTAACGCCTGGCAAAGAACGAAATTCGGTCAATGACATAGTTAGGAAAGCAGTAAGAAAAGCGATCAAGGAACGAAAGTGGTTTCAAGGGGTTTCAATCAAGGCCATTGTACTAATGACCAAACAAAAGTCCTTGTTCTAGCCTACGGCGCAGAACTCATATAAAACCCCGAAGCCCTCGAGTCTCTCTCTCTATATTCACCACCAGCATTCCTCTAAATAGCTTTGCAAAAAATCTTATTTTCCTTAAACATATCATATCTACCAACCAGCAAAATGGCAGGACGCGCGACTGATAGTTGTCCTTTCATGATGGGCTTCGAGTGTCTGGTAGACCCTAAAGATGATATAGCTCTTTGGGTTACTATAGAAATTCCGAAAGCAATGAAGATTACCAATAATGACGAAGAGCTGATGGAGTCTGTGGCTCAACAGATTCAAAGCTATGACGCCAATATTTCCGCTTACGCACAGCATCACTATAGATACTTATGTCTATCGCTACCAGTAGGTGGATTTCATAGAGATGAGAACCACAACGATGCAGTCATAGCCCAGGCTAAGACTTTAGCACTCTGGTGGCCCAGAGAAATCATCGCACGTAGAGTTAGTTCATCTTGACCGGAGTGTGATTTTCTTTTAGTTGACGAGGAAAACGATACGTGTTCTGCCAGGATCGAGAGTATGGAATTAAGGGGAGATGCATGAAGTTTGCAGTCAATGTGATCTTCTGGGGACATCTGACAGATTAATAGAGCATCTAAAAATGAACAAGATGTTCAGGGAAAAATATCAAGTTTCACAAGTAGTGTAAGTTCTGGCCCATGAGATTCATATGGATCGAATGCCATAGCTACGATTCAAGTAACTCGACGAAGTTGAGCCGCCACCATAAGCCATGAACTGCCATTTGATAGAAAGGCAACGGAATCTCAAATCCAAGATAGCTATACCGGATAAATTAGTCAAGCACCGCAACATGGAAGAATCTGGAGTGTCAAAGAAGCAGAGATCAGATATCGGATATCGTAAAAGACATCCTCTGCATCTTCTTACCCTAACTCATGTTGCGACAATGAGATAGCAGTCCACATTCAATTTGGAGTATCCCCCCACTTCAGGTAGGCAAGCAAGCAGTTTCCAAGGCGATAGTTCGATTTCACCGAGGAACCAGATTGATTCGGAAGAGATGCTCAGGCAAGGTGACAGCGATGTGACAATGGTTGGATTCGAGAGTTCACCAGTGCCCGCAACCAATGGTAATACATATGTATGATATGAGCCACTGGTTCGTTTTGGGATAAGACAAGAAGCCGCACGATCAAGAATGCGAGGGCTGTGAAATGTACCAGCATGAGGCAAACCACATGGTGCCAGAAGCATATCCATTTCATAAGGGAAGTGTGAAGCTAGGGTTTACGACGTCGATTGAAAAAGCAGAGAATAAGAACAGTCGATTGCTTTTATCTTGGAATGAATTGGATAACCGGGAAATTAGTGTGTATGACTGCATGGTGTCGAGGGGAGCAGATTCGAGCAGAGATGGGAAGAGAAGAGAAAGGAAGAGAGAAGAGGAGACCATAGAGAAGCACCTACATATGTACTTCCAAGGTAGATACCAACTGCACAAGATAGGAAGGAAGGAAAAGGCACCAGGGTAGTTTCCTAATTGGGATTCGATGCAAGTGACATCATGTGCTCGTGACATCAGCCATCTGTATTTTGATACTCTAGGCCTGTCTCTCCCATCTACACGATTTGTCGGGAAAAACACCATCCCAGCATGTCTCCAATCGTTAGCCAGGTCGTCTTCTTCCGCGTCAAACGTTCCGTCAAGCCTGAAGACCCGTCCAGCATAGAAGGCAAGAGTCTGATGAGGATCTTCCAGGCGACCCAACACCAAAGCGGTCATGCGCGCTCATCCTGGGGATACACATTCGAAGACAAAGACACCATCGTCTGGGTTGTAGGTGAGTTTAGCATCCCTGAAACAATTCTCAAACTACGATATACATACCCACCCCTAGAAACCTACAACCTCTGGCCTATAGCCTAACCAAACCAACAGACTGGACCGACCCTCGCAGCACAATAGATATTCAACTAATCAACGAGTTTTTGGCACCCGACAATCCCCAGCCACCGTCATCACTGCGCGTCACCTTCAGCCCACCACTCTCTGCCACAGAAACACTAACCAAAAACCCCGTGACTGAGCTGTGCACGCTGTCATTTCCGAGTGATCTCGAAGTGTCAGGAATGAAGCAGATCGACGCGGACTTGATCAGCTTCCGCATCGCGATGGTCGAGCAGCTACCACAGTCAATGGGGCCACGATCATGGTCGATGGGGCATGTCGACCGGCCGAGTAAGCTGCCGCACGAGAATAGTCCGAGTGGGCAAGCTTTCGCGTACCTCCTGGCTGTTGGCTGGAACAGTATGGAGGCGCATCGCAAGGCCGATAAAACAGAGAACTATGCCCGCAGTATGGCGCCTCTGAGGAAGAAGATGTTGCCGCCTATTCCTGGGTTGGAGACGAAACATGTTAGTTTCCAAAAGATTTCGGGTTAGGCGGGGGAAGGGGAGAGAAATAAGAGCGGTAAAGGGGAAGCGAGAGAGGAACGAAGGAGAGCTTGGTGCCATGGATTAATGCTGGGGCATGGATGATTTGAGCTGTGTTGCGTGGATAATAGAATATGTCGGTGGTGATTAGAGCAGGTAGTGGAAAGGGAAAGGGCTACTTGATTCAGGGATAATTGTGTGGGAATTGTTAATTAGAATGGCAGGAAATGAAACACGCCTTGGAATAAGATACAACGAGAAAGTAAAGAAAGAACCAAGGAATAACGCCCTGAGAGAAAGCGAAGGCAAACAAAAGGAGACTTCATTAACCACCGTAGAATTTTGGGCAGAACCTCGCAATAAAACTCTCAGCAAGCGTTGTATGTTACGCTGCTTGACTTAGATCCGGTGCTTTTCACTCTCTGGTCAATCCGTTAGAACCTAGCTATGCACAGCTTCACCTAGGGAAGGGGGAGACGAACCAAGTCGGGAATAGAGCATGTACAAGGCCATTTGGTTGCACTCCGCGGTACCGGTGATAGTGACCAGACGCTCATTGCTGCTCTCTTGGGGCTCGTTGATCTTGATCACACTACCACTGAGGTGACGTATCTCGTTAATTTTAGCACCACCCTTTCCAATAATGGCACCAACCATGTCGTTGGGGATGTAAATCTGCTGAGTCAATGGCTGACCGGGAATGGCAGCGCCGACAGGGGCAGGGGCTGTTGGAGGTCCACGGCCAGGGGTCGGCTGCTGAGGGCCACCAACAAAGGGAGCGGGCTGGTGGGGGCCTACGCCGCCGTAAGGGGCCTGGGGAGCGGCGGGGAAGTGCATTGGGGTCTGAGCAACAGGAGCAGGGGCTGGCTGACCGTGCAGGTAGGGAACACCATATGCACCACCACCGGCACGGTTAGGGTGAGGGTGGTGACGCTTGAACGTGTCGGGATGGCCGTATTGGCCGCCGGCGGGCTGGGGAACGTACGGCACAACCTGCATACCACCAGGAACAGCACCGGCAGGACCGCCGCTGCGAGTGGCATATGCCGAGGCCGCGGGACCGCCGTAACGTTCAGACAGCTGCTCGACCAAGGTGACAGCGACATAGTAGGTAGCAATGTGGACGGCATCCGCAACACCGAGGATGACAAGGGACCGTTCGGTGGACAGAGGGAGGCAAGCGTCCGAGGCGTTCAGGCGAGCACCAGAAGCCTCCTGGATCTCACGAATGCGGCTGCCACCCTTGCCGATGATGGAACCAATTAGAATGTGAGGAATTAGCAAACGCAGAGGGTACGTCTTGGATTGTGCAGTAGAAGCGGCCTCTAGAGGTTCATTGTTAAGGGTACGGATAATTAAACCAAACGCCTAATATTTGTCATTAGCAATCGAACAGTCGTAACAAACCTATTGAATGGAAGAAAAAACCTACCTTGGCAGCAGCATCCTGGGGACCGCTGACTGTCAGGATACGCTCCACTGCACCCCGAGAATAATCACTGACAGTGCACTTGGCACCGGACAGACGACGAATCTGGGACACGTTCTCACCTCCCTTTCCAATAACGGTGGCTGCTTCCGGGCTGGAGATCACCGCACGAATATGAACCCAGCTCGACTCGTCCTGGGGTGGTTGATCAGAACCCGCGCGATCGGCCTGGGAAGCTGTTGATTGGATGGGTTGGGTGTCGACAGGGAGACCCTTGCCAGTGGGCGCATCGGGGACCACAGTATCTCCCTGAGTATCCTTGGCACCTTCGACGACAGTAGGAACCTGGCTACTGGATACATCTGTTTCCGCCTCGGCATCGCTCTTGACTACTTTGTCTAGCGCCGGGCGCTTGGCCTCAGGCTGGTCATTGGGACCGGACGGCGACGAAGGGTCCTCGAGAGGACGCTTGGTCGACTGAAGGTTGGATGGAGAAGCCGACATCTTGGATAGTCTGTGCTGCTGTTTGTTTTTCACTTACAAGTGAAATCGGAAGGTGTCAAGAATGAAATCTGTTTTCTTCTTTTATGATCGTTTTATGTACACCAGAATTTCCCACGGAAGGTGCTGGTGCTGGCGATCGGAAGGGGAAATTGGTGCTTTGAGAAGATTGGAGAGGCTGTGAGGGAAAGGTGGTACTGAGGCAGTGCCGATGTAAGACGGGAAGAAGTGCAGATTCAAGTGTGAGAGGGCTTTGCTGTCACAACTGGGGAAGCTTCACGGGATCTGCCGAGATGCTCGAAATGAATAAGGAAGCGAAAGGGTGGAGATAGGATCCTTGGGTGAACGCGATGGGAAATAGGAAATGAGGCAAGCAAGATATCAAGCGCCAGAAACCGTTGCCTGCTGTACCACACTGTAGCCTCCGATAACGTCTGAATCTGAGGTCAAGGGTGTGGGCTAAAACTCGCTATCGACGAGTTGATAGCTTTATTGACGAAAATGTGGTGAAATGGCGATGAAAGGTGGAATGAAGGGAAGAAATCAAGGCGATGAAAATCAAATCCCGGTGATTAAGGAGAAGAGGTGAAGTTAACGATGGGGGAAGGAAGTCGAGGCTGAAACCTGGTCACATGACGTCGACGCGAATGTTGCATGGGCGTGATGCTCGTGTTCGATATTTTGATTGTCTCTTAGGCTTCAATCAAACATTTTACAGCAAGTCTCAAGGACAATGGAGCTCTAAATCAAAAGTATTTCTTTTACTTCTAGAAGGAAATATTTGCATTTTGCGTCACTCCACCAAAATAAGCATGGATATCGCCGACCAAACCGTGCAGAAGATCCAGAAATTCGCACAGAGGCGCCAAGAAGCAGAACACGAAGCGGCAAAAGAACCTCTCAGTGAGACTGCATTGCATGTTTACACGCGACGTTTAGATGCAACCTTGCAAGGGCTTCAAGAGCAAGTCAAACGCCAGCAGGATGAATTGAACAAGGCATGCTATGTCATTCCAATTATAGTAGGACGCCTCGATTGACATGAGTTATAGCTGCGGGAGCTCAGTTCCCTTGATTTAACAGAAACGGGTACCGATTCCTGGGCCCGTATTTCCCAAGCCCGACGGGCCAGGAAAGCCTACGACTCGCTTCTTAAGTCCGACGATGAGCTCCCAGCAACAGATTCGGTGCTGCCATCACTTATAGCCATAGAAGAAACCGCACGTCTTGTTCAAGAAAACAAGGTCTCTGTCACAATGACTGCCGAACAGCTGTCTGTAGACCGCGAGCGCCTGCGGGTTGAAGAGGCTAATCTACGCGACTCTCAATCGATCGCAAGCGGACTGCGAGAGCGAATTCAAAGAATCCGCAATGCAAACACGAGAAAGGAAGAGCAGACTCCATCACAGGTGGCACGCGAGCAGCTTACCCTGCAGAAAGAGCAAAATAAAGAACTGGACCGCACGTCTGCAAACCTCAAGGTCTCGTTGGATACGTTCATCGATGAGACTCTTGCTCCAATGCTTGCTGCCGAGGATCTGGGCGGCCCGACTGTAGGCGATGCTTTTGAGGTGTCAGATGCTACGCTAAAGGCAGGTTATACGGCACACGGCAAGCCCAAGAAGCAGAAAGAGCCGACAGAAACGGAGGATGGATCACAGCGGCGGATTGATAAGTTCATGAAACGGAACGCGGATGAGGCTCCCACAAACAAAAGGGAGGCAGTTGCGAAGGAGATGCATGGTCTTCTCGACGCTATGTTGGAGGCTAACACCTATATCGATTTGGAGCGCGACTCGGCGTCTTCAAGATTCCTTGTGAGAGCCAAGGTCGCGCAGTTTCACCCTCGAGATGCACGGCGACTTCGATTGATTGATTTTGGTCGCTCACTGGGGAATTGAATGAGGGACATTCCACGATTGAGTAACAAAATGGTATTATTGATTCATGGATGTGTATCGTTCTATATCCTGGTCCTTTGTGAACATTTCAAATACTACATAACCCGGCACCTATAGACTACCTTCGAATGACTCCCTACAAACCGTGAGAAAAGAACACCTAGAGATGCTTGTGTAAACGCCGAACCAATCATAAACATCCCGACAAAAGATGGGAAAGAACAATAAGAAGAACATCAAATAGGCATCATTCCAATCGTAGATTTGGGAGCTTTGGGTCTGGAGTTCTTTCGCGGCGCAGATGACTGGCTTGTAGGACGATCGCCAGATTTGACTTTTGGTCGCGCGACTTTGCCCTTCCAGCTTCCAGCGGAGCCATATTTCCGTCGTGATGGTCGTTTGCCACTGGCAGGCTGGCGCTTGCGACCCTTGGAGCCAGGAGGCGCCGCGCCAGATTCCCAGTCGTCACCAGAGTCATATCCCGGAGATGCTGCCGGAGGGAAGTAGCGACTGGTGATATTTTCAACTGCATTGCTGGGTGCGGCCAAGACTGGATTGTCCAGATTGAAGGAAGCCTCATCCATGAACAAATCGTCGTCACTATACTCATCGCTGCTGCTGAGGTTGATGACATTATGGTGGTTGGGATCCGGAACAACGCCGCTGGTCTCTGCTTCCTGCGTCATCTCCAGGTACCGCCGCTTCGCATTGTCAACCAGTCCCAGTATCTGCCGGCCGTAGCGCTTCACCTTATCCTGGTCGATGTCGGGGATCGCAGAAAGCTCAGTGAGATCTATTTCCTTGTTAACCTGGTGTTCCAATTCCCATCAAGGGATCGTACTTACTTGTGGGAAAAGATATGCCCATATCACGTAGCACCTGGTCAGAGAACGGTTGGCACCGAAGGCCCTTCTTAACGACAAGCTATAACAATAGTCAGTTTCTTTATGATGTACTAATGAGTACAGCGATTACTCACGTCCTGAAGCATGATTTTGGCGTGCTCTTGAAAGTCCTCCACAACTACACGATGCATGTGATCAAGTCGATCTAACTTCTGATCGCTGGTAATCGGAGGGCCCATCTCGCGTGTGTTTGCGCGGCGAGACTTGCCGGTGGTTCGAATCGGTTCAAAGCCATCACTATCCTCATCGAGCGAGGAAGGTACGGCTGGAGCACCGGCATATTGATAACGGTCAAGGCGGCGGTTTTGAGCAGCTTGCACCGGAGAAGATACCATGGTTGACTGAGGATCGCCACCTGAATTCCTGGACTTTTTCTTTTGCGTAGCAGCTGAGGGCTTGCTGTTGGCTTTGGTCTTACTATTCGGTGACGCGCGAACCTGTAGTTTCATTTGCCGCTGGCCACTCTCATATTCTGCTGCACGACGCCCGAGGATGATATACTGAACAGCGAAATCACTTTTATTGATCACGTTGTCTTCGGCCAATGCGTCTTCACCTAGCAGCCGGTAGAACAGACGTTCGGCTGCTCCACGGTCGAGATCAGATCCCTTTCCATACCCCGGCATCTTGCGATGCTCTGGGGCTTTAGGCCGTTTGCAATCCCCACGAAGTATGTCGCAGCAGTAGAGCACAGTCACCTTCTCCTGTGCGTTCTGGAATTGTCGCACAATCTTGATGGCCCAGGATGCCTGCTCAGTAAAATCATGAAGCTCAAACACTAAACCGGACTTGCAGTTATCACAGGTGTTATTGCAGTCCTCTCGGCGGAAGTATTCCGCAAAATAGGCGAGGACTTGGACTCGTCTGCAATCGCTGCGGTTCTCACAAAATTGAACCACATTTCGCAACATCTGTTTCTGACGACCTTTTTGCTGACCACTGCCATCTCCTGCATCAATCATCCGCTTTAAGGTTGCTGTGTCTTTGTAGCCGAAGTAAAGATAACAGCCAGAACGCTTGCCGTCTCGACCAGCACGACCGGTTTCTTGATAATACCCCTCGAGACTCTTTGGGATACTGTGGTGCATGACGAATCGCACATCGGCTTTGTCAATTCCCATTCCGAATGCAATGGTGGCAACAATGATATGTACTCGGCCCATCTGCCAGTTCCTCTGAGCCTCCGATTTTGCTTTTGCTGACATACCCGCATGATAAGCGTTTGCCTTGAGGTGGTACTTTTTCTGTAGATCCTCTGCAACCTTATCGCAGGTCTTTCGCGAGAGGCAGTAGATAATCCCGCACTGATTCCGGTATGAGCTTGTAATGGTTTCCGCCATACTGGCTAGAACCTCATCATTCTTTCCTTTCGACCGTACCTCGTAGGTGAGATTAGGACGGTTGAAACTCTGTAGGAACACTTCACAATCAGTGATTTTGAGATTGTGCATCACATCAACTTTGACATTCTCAGTAGCAGTGGCCGTCAAGGCCATAACCGGTACACCAGGGAACCTGGCTCGAACCTCTCCTAGCTCTTTGTAGTCAGGTCGGAAATCGTGTCCCCATTGACTGACGCAGTGAGCCTCGTCGATGACGAGGCGCGCTAATCTGTTTCTTCCGTGAAGCCTCTCAAGGGCTCTAATCAAGGCTTGGTTTTTACTAAGCATCTCAGGAGTGATGTACAGGACCTCCAACCCCTCGCCACCTGCATTTGAGAGCTGGCTCATGATCCATGATTTTTCCTGTTGGTCGGTATCGCCGTTAATCATAAAGGCCTTGACGTTCAATTTTCGCAGGTGGGATACTTGATCCTCCATCAGACTCAGCAATGGAGATATCACAATCGTCACTCCAGTGGTGCGTCCGCCAGTTACCACAGAAGGTAATTGATAACATAGCGACTTTCCTCCTCCAGTAGGCATAAGAATGAATGTATCTTTGCCAGCAAGTGTCGCATCAATGGCTTCAAGTTGATTGGGTCGGAATCCGCGGAGGTGGAATCGGTCTTTCAACACTTTCCTTACTTCTTGAGACCATGGATGGTTTGACCAGAAGGCGCTATGACCGGGCGACTTCTTCGGGACGGGCACCTTGGGGACGTTGCCAGAGGTCTCCGCAAAAACCTTGCGGCTTTGACTGGCTTGCTCGCGAACAGGTATCTGTTGAGCACCATCGAAGCCCACTGCCGCTTCTAATATGTCATCGTCGCTGACATTCCAGTCGAACTCATCAATATCCATCGAATCCAACAGTGGAGAGCCCATATTCCGAGAAATACAGTCCTCATAGCTATCTGGCTGACGGGTGTCTTTGGTCTTTCTGGGACTTGTGAGAGGCAAACGCTGTTGGCTACGGAATTCTGTGTTTGAGTCGGCACGCGAAGAAGAGACAAGAGCGGGCTCCTGTGCGACTGCATGGGCTTCGAAGGTGGGCTGCGTGGGTTTCATATAGGAGGGTTCAGGTGGACAATCGTGCGCTAATTCGAGGATATTGACTTGAGATAGAAGCTGACAGATTTTTGTTTCGGTTTGTTCCAACTCTGCCTCAACTGCTCGACTCTGCGCAAGCTCTTCTGGCATGGTTGTTGGATCTAGACCTTGTGAGATCACACGTATCAAGTTCTGCTTCAGGTCTTGCTTGCGAGAAACGCTGCCCTTGTGCGTGTTTTGATGCTTTTGCAGCAATTCAATTGCCTCGATCTGAGCGACAAGAGTCTTGTTTTGAGCGATCAATTCCGGGACTGGCTGTCCCTCCATGGCCTGTTGATAAACAATCTCAGAATTCTTCTGCAGAGTAGACCTCAATTTGGAAATTGCATAGCCGAAGGCATTGCTTCCAAGAGCCAAAAACTTCAGGAGATCCGGATCCTTTTCTTGTGATGAGCTGGACGGCTTCGACCAAGGCGTCGACGGGGTAGGGTCTTTGACAACTGCCATTTTCTTCGGCTGAGTCGATAGTTGCGCAGTCGGGAACGGTGCTTTGGGCGTACATTCCAATCGTGAATGCTTAGTCTCGACCATTTTCTCGTCCGCCGCTGGACTCATCTCGGGAAGTATTGGATACAAATTCTCCCCGGCATCGAGGATCATCTTATCGGCCGGATCTTCACTAACAGCCCAGTCATCAAAGAGATCATCGTCATCATCTGAATCCGCGATCACTCGTTTCCGATGGCTCCGTGGGGCAGTAGGTGAATGATATTCAGGTCGTTTCGCCGCGCTTGGGGGATTTGTTTGGGTTGTTTGAGTTGTCTGACGTGGGACTGTGGGCTGTTCCGATATAATGTCTCTACGGGCGGGGGGTAGAGCGGCTTTGGAGGGGGTTCGCACTTTCGAGGGCGTTCGCACTTTCGTCGCATGTTTCAATGGGGAAAGAAGATCAGACGTATACTCGTCACTCTTGCGCTTCTTGCCGCGTTTCTCACGAGTTCCGCACGGGGTACTTTCTTGTGCACATGACCCGCGCGGCTCACCCGCCAGGATAGTCTCCGAGGATAGTGTGGACAGATCAAGCTCCCCTGTCAAATCAATCGATTCAATATCTTTATGGCCAGATGCGTGGAAACTGTCTGATCGCGATGGAGTCGACTTTTGCCGGGAAGGTTTGTGTGATGATAATGGTGGTTCTCGGAAGGACTCTAATCACCGTGCAGGCGGTATCAGTCTGATAATTCCCGCAAGACTCGTCTCGTGTGTTTACGTACCTCGAGCTATGTTTGATTGTTTTGGCGAATCCCGTTTCTTCGTACTTGACAGAGTACTGGTGGGGACCGTGTCATGTCGGCTTAGCAATCGAGGCTTGCTCGCCGATTGGGGTAACAATCTAGCCATTGAACCATTCGTCTCATTTTCCGTGTCTTCAAGGATATCATCCAGGGCCGCGAGTTCGGCGGCGGGGGGAATCAATTGTGGTAATGCGTGGTTGTTGCGTTCGGGCAGGCCGGTTTGTGCCAGAGGGGGGTTAAGAGGTTTCCCTTGGGTTAACAACCATTTGAGATGAGTTGCTAAGTTATTCTTCGTCATGGGGGCCTGTTGCTGTCATGGCCGTCGATCTTCATGTTTGGGGCGATGGGCACAATCGCGAACCCGATATCGACGCGTCGGCACGTGAGCGGTCAAACAAATCGATCTATAGCAGCAACTACGTTCAACTTACTCGGTCAAATAGGACTAAGAAATTAAATTCGAGTGGGAATAATCATTCTTATCCTATTTCTTATATTTGCCAAAGTTACATGTAAATAAAATCGAATGGTGGAAGCAACACGCCTACAGACGAATATCTGATCGATCTGGAGGGGGGCAATTAATTCGGTGTGGGGAAAAGGCATGATTTCTGCCCCACGAAAAGAAGATCGCGAAAATTCACTTTCTGAATCCAACGTGGAGCCAAAATGGGTAAAAAGACTAAGAAATCAGCCGAGCACAAGGACCGTGTAGCGGCTAAGCAATCAAAGAAGTCCGCGCAGAAGGAAAAGAGGTCCAAAGCCAAGGGAAAGGATGCAGACAGCGATGCTGAAGACGCAGACCTAGATGCCATTCTAGCCCAGTACGCCGAAGAACAGGCCAAATTCTTAAAGGTCACTGAGGTTCCTTCCGAGCCCCCGGTTTCACGTTCGTCTTCAACCGTGCTAGCATCTCCGTCGAACCGAAATGAGCTGTTGCTTTTCGGTGGAGAGTACTTTGACGGGACGCATGCCACTTTCTTCAATAACCTTTTCATCTATTTGATTGACCGCAGCGAATGGAGAGAAGTGACTAGTCCCAACAGCCCTCTTCCTCGAAGTGGCCATGCATGGTGCCGGGGAGGAAACTCCGGAGGCATCTATATGTTTGGAGGTAAGGTTGTCTTGCTGGGTATATTGAAATTGTTTGTGCGGAGACTTACTATCAGCAGGAGAGTTCTCGTCGCCGAAACAAGGCACATTTTATCACTACAATGATTTTTGGCACTTAGACACAGCTACAAGAGAATGGACCCGTCTCGAGGTTAAAGGCAAAGGTCCTCCCGCTAGAAGTGGTCACCGCATGACATATTTCAAGGTATGTGTTTTAATTCAGCATATGTCTTCTGGATAAAGCTAATCCCGAGACAGAACTACATCATCCTCTTTGGTGGATTCCAGGATACCTCCCAGCAGACTAAGTACTTGCAGGACCTGTGGATTTATGATTGTAATCAATATACTTGGTACAACCCCACATTGACCCTTGCTTCCCAAAAACCCGATCCTCGCTCATCATTCTCTCTGCTACCGCACGAGACTGGAGCTGTTCTCTACGGGGGCTACTCCCGAGTGAAGGCAGCTGCGGGTGGTGGTAAGCAAGGCAAGGGTGGCGGCCCCCAGAAGATGGCTCTCCGGCCCATGGTTCACCAGGATACTTGGTTCTTGAGAATCACACCCCCTGCAGCTGAGGCTCCATCGTCAACGGCACCTGTTGTCCGATGGGAACGACGAAAGAAGCCCGCTAATACGCCCAACCCGCCCCGTGTTGGCACTACCATGGCATACCACAAGGGTCGAGGAATCATGTTTGGTGGTGTCCACGACGTGGAACTAACCGAGGAGGGCATTGACAGCGAGTTCTTCGATACTCTCTTTGCTTGGACTACCGACAGAAACCGTTTCTTCCCGTTGAGTCTGCGACGTCCCCGCGCGCCGGGCAAAAAGCAGCAGGCAAATCAAAATGCAAAGTCTAAAAATAGGGGCAAAGCGGATGAGGAAGAGCTTTTGGCAAACCTCAAAGCCCTGGAAGCTAAAGTTGGAATTCGGGACAATGAAGATGATAACGTTATGGAAGCAAGCCCGCCCCGACCCGAGGAGCCTGTGGAACCCGCAAAACCCTCGGTTGTTCGCTTCGAAATGCCCCACCGGCGATTCAATGCCCAGCTAGCAGTGCAAGATGATACCCTATTCATCTTTGGTGGTACGTTTGAAAAGGGTGACCGAGAGTTCACCTTCGACGATATGTATTCCATTGATCTAGTCAAGCTGGATGGTGTCAAGGAGTTATTCTACAGGGAGCCTGAGAATTGGAACCTCTTGAACGAAGCCGAAGACAGTGACGAAGAAATGGATGACGAAGATGACGACGACGATGAGGATGAAGACGATGAGGCTGACGCCGAAGCGATGTCCCTTGATGCTCCCTCTCCTGCCCGGACAGATGTGACGGTGCCATCTGTTACCAAGGACATGGAACAACTTGAAGTTGAGGAGCCAGAAGAGCAAACTTTCAATGACAACCGACCATTGCCTCGGCCGTTCGAAAGCTTGCGAGAGTTCTTCAGCCGCACTTCTGAAGAATGGCAGAATATCATGATGGAGATTGTCAAGGAGAAGGAACAGTCCGGTGACAAGTCAATCAAGGAATTGCGCAAAGCAGCGTTCTCTGTGGCCGAAGAAAAGTGGTGGGATAGTCGAGAGGAGATCATGGCTCTGGAAGATGAGCAAGAAGCAGCGGGTATTGGAGAGGTTGTTAGCATGTCTGACCGTACTGAGAATATAGGAGGAGCTGGTCGTCGTCGCTGATACCCTCTATAGAGATATAAAAAAAAATAGATTTAAGCGTTGAATGTCCAATCGTTGAGATTCTAAGTCTTAATTCCAATAGCTCTGGGCAACCTTTGCCAGCACATCTGTCACCAGCGCAAAGTCTCGCTCCACATCAACTCGCCAATTTGAGATTGCAATGCGGCAAGCAGGGGACCCATCCCAGCTAGTACCCGAGACGAACATCCGCGAGCTCTCGTTGATCTTGCTTCCTAGCTCGCGGTTCAACCCCTCATCATTTGCGCGAAATAAAACAGTCATAAATGTCCGATCAAGCAACTCAGACTTGGACAATGCTTCTGGCAAAGCTGTATAACCAGAATGCTCGAATATCCATCCATATATTTTCCGGGCAAGCCTTATCTGACGCTCCAGCATTTGTTGATACCCGGACTTGCCATATGACAATAGGGATGCATACACCGGTAATGCTCTAAATCGACGAGAGTTTTCAATCCCAATGTTTAGAGGCGAGGGGATGGAAGGGCCATCGGAGTCTCCAGCAGCCAAGTAAGCTGCATTCGCGTTTTGGAATACTTGCGATGCCACATTCGGGTGTCGAGTAAAGAAAAAGCCACAGTCGTAGGGCACGTTGAGAAGTTTGTGGCCGTCACCGGTTATCGAGTCGACCAGATGTATTCCTTCGCAACCCTTCTTGATTGTTGCAAACTCTGGGCTTTCATCAAGGACACGGGCAAATATTCCAAATGCTCCATCGGCGTGCATCCAGGCTCCATACTTGTCGCACAACTGGCGTATTTCTCTCAAATCCGCACCGCTTGTTGCAAAACGACCAGAATTGACCTCTCCGCAAGATATTGCAACGATGCTAACCTTGTCTGTTCTCGCAAGTTCTTTCTGAAGCTTATCAATATCAAAGCGGAGCGGGTCGTCGGCTCGGCAGATGTTGTGTACGTTGGAACGACCGATGCCTAGCACACCAGCAGCCTTCACGAGGGAGGAGTGTGGCAGCGTGGATAAAACCTGCACCCCGGAAAGACCCAGTGCATTCAATACCTCAAACAAGCCCTCTTCACCAACACTCTGGAGATGACAGCCTTTTCTCAGCGCCGCCTTTTGCAAAATAAATTCGCGCCCACATGCTAGGCCGAGGATATTACTCCCCGTGGCCCCAGTAGTGAAAGTCCCATTATACCAAACAGAACGCTTCAGTTGGAAAAGATCTAAAAGGAGACCAAGTGCGTTATACTCCACATCGGTGACAATCGAGTGATTTGGGAGATGGACCTGGACGTTCTGGTCGTAAGCAGATACAACGTTGTCCGCGAAGAGCGCTGCTGGGGTAGTTCCACCAGTCACAAATCCATAGTAATTGGCACTTATGCTTCCTCCATTGAATGCCGGGACAATATCGTCGACAATGTGCCGCTGGACAAATTCGAGACTGGATCCTGTATTCGGAAGTGTCGCGGGGAGAGAAGCTCTAGCTCGCGCTAAGTCCTCAGAGCTAGGGAGAATTCCCGAGTCCCAGGGTCCCTGTGCAGCCTTCCATAGGTCTTGTTGGAATTGGTTATGCATGGCCGAAAGGTGTGTTGGGGAGAGGGGAAATTGAACAATCTGGCCAATTTATACAATGCCGGGGTCTCGGGATCTGCTCCCTATAACGTTCGGCTATACCTTCCAGAAACAATATGTGATGCCTTCTGATCTCGCATAGGAAATAGATAGATGTAAACAGATATCATTGGAAGACACCTGGGCACGTCCCGAAAGAACGTTGGAAGCCTGGAAAGCGGGATGAGTGGGGCAAGGTGAAGTCGATGTCCGAAGTCCGAAGTTCGAACAGCTTCTAGTGATCTTGCAATGGAAGTTTTGGAGCAGACAGGCGATGTGGAGATGGAGGCATGTACTTCGTACCTAGAGATGTCCATAGTGACTCTTGCTTGGCTGCCTCAGGCGCTGAGTAGATTTATTTAATCTATGACGGACGAAGTAACTACTGTCTAGGCAATCTTTAAGGCTGGTTTTACCCTGTTTCTCATTAGGCCCTTTGTTCATGTTGCCCCTGACATCTCCTTGGATGCTAATTGCGCCTAATTATCCTGTCAACCTCGGGGAGAAGTATGGGGCGATGGTACGGAGCAGAGATTTCTGGACTTCGCCTATTTGTTGCTAAGTCAACTACAAGCTCGCGTTACTCTCCGAATCCAGCTTGGCAGTGCACAAGTCCTCCTTACTTGACTACATTGAACGACCTTATCTATGTTGTATAGCATGTTTGCATATTCCAGGGGCGAATAGCTATCCCTGAGCAAGGAGAATCTGTCTCAGATTAGGAAAATAGAACGGGTGAGGGCCCTTCTTTCCAGACCATGTCGCAGTTAAAAAGATGGAGAATAATATCATCAAAAGCAGTCGAAAAGGCAGTTCAAAATTCCAAATCTAATCGCGCATGCCCCAGAAAAGCAAATTTATGCCAAGCCACATCCAATCCAGCATATCTAGGTTCAATGATCGACGCGGATCACCCTTCTTTGCATGTAAATATTCCACATTCTGTCATCGCGCGTCTCCTGGCGTTCCACATGAAGCCCCTGGGGTGAAGATACGCGGGGCTTGGTCCTACGTAGACAGTGGTCACGTTCAAAACTTTCTCGCCTGCAACGATGCCTGCCACTCCAGTCTTCACCTACTCTTGACGCACCCATCACTGAGAGGCCGACAACCATGTCTAGCCACATCAAGTTCGCAGAGCCGACCTCGAATAAAGCTAGCAAAGATCGCGCTAGGGGGCACATCCAAGAAAAGGGGTCGGCACAGAGAGCACCTTCCCCAGGAAGTGAAATTGTTTACCCGACAGGATGGAGACTAGTGCTTACCACCACAGGGTATGTGCTCAGTCAAGTGCCATTGGGTTTTGCTAACGAAGACTGATGGTGTATAGACTCTTGATTGGATTTTTCCTCTCCAACTTGGATGTCACGATTGTAAGCTCGGCTCTCACGAGTATCACAGATGATTTGGAAGGCTTCGAGAAAAGAAGCTGGATTATCACTGGATATCTAGCCACCTACACAGGTATGATACAAATGCGATGTTATAATAATTTCTCTACTCTTTGGATGTTTCTTTTCTTCTTGAACATATGTCTTGAGATAGTCTCCCACAGTCTCTATCTCTCTCATTACTGATATCATAATACTTCCAGGGTCTATGGCAATATGGACAAAAATCAGCGATATACTTGGCAGGAAACAAACTACAATCGCTGCTCTTGTCATTCTGCTCGCATTTTCTATGGGGTGTGGGTTTGCTCAGACAGTTAACCAACTGTATGTCTAGCGTAGTCCTGCGCTCATTTTCTGTCTAGAGGCTAACTACCGAGGCAGCATAATATTCCGAGCTCTCCAAGGAATCGGGGGCGCTGGTACATACGCATTGACGATCCTATGTGTCTACGAAATAGCTCCTAAAACGAAGCTTCCAATCTACAGCAGTCTCATGTCATTTTGCCTTGTTTTTGCATCTTTGATAGGCCCAATCGTTGGAGGTGCTCTTGCGGAAAATTCGGCCTGGCGATGGACCTTTTTCGTCAAGTATGTGGATGCTAAGCATCTGTGTTGAAAAGCATGCTAACTAAATTATTAGTGCACCATTGTGCTCTATTGCGATCGCTGTCATCATCGTTGCGATGCCCAAACACTTTGGCCTTGATCAGCACACTCCTTCATTCCGGACACGAGCCTCATATCGCTCATTTGCTAATCTTGATATAATGGGATCGTTTTTGATGATGGCTGGCTCATTTTTGATAGTCGCCGTATTGAATGAAACCAATCTGGCATTCTCATGGTCTTCGAGGGATGCAATTGCGCTCCTTGTGCTCACGGGGGTGTGCTGGATCGCTTTCTTTGCCTGGGAATGGTATATCTCGGGCATCCCGGGCAGAGACCCCATATTTCCCAAGCGTTGGCTTTTTGATCGTCCATGGCTGGGAATACTTATGTGAGTCCATCTAATTAATATCCACGGTTACCGTACAATTTCTTCTGACACGCTTTTAGTTCTTCGTTCGTCATCGGCGCACCGTACAACGTCGTCCTAGTATATGTTCCACAGCAAGCCCAGCTTCTGTTGGACAAGTCGCCTTTGGAGGCCGGTATCTATTTGATTGGGTATTCTGCTATCGCCGCAGTTGCTGCGGCTATTATCAATATCGCCAGCTCTAGGGGACGCATCCCGTTTATTTATACTCTGCTCGTGGGCTGTACAGTCCATACTGTCGGTATTGGGCTTCTTTCGACCATTGCCAGTACTCGAGGCTTCCACGCAACAGATATTGGCTATCTAGTCATTGCTGGGACAGGAATGGGTCTGACCATGGGCATCCTCGTGTTATCGACACCATATATTGTCGAGGACAGAGACCTAGGTATGTGTTCTCCCGAAAACTTCCTGATACTAAGGTGACCGATGCATTGGCTAACTAGTTCATCGCCTTTCGTTGCAGCAATTGCCACTGGTACCGTGGTTCAGTTCCGCTTTCTTGGTGGTGCTATTGGTCTTGCCATTGCATCTAATATATTAAATGGCCATCTAACGCATCGTTTGCAGGGTGTTATGACATCGCACGAACTGCACCTATTCCTTGAGAATGTGAGATCGATAAAAAGCCTACCTCCTCTTCTACAAGAGGAGGTGAAGGACGTTTTAGCTGGTAGTTTCAATACGCAGCTGATTGTTATGGTTGGATTTGCGGCTGCTCAGCTACCTGCGACTCTACTATTGCTAAAGGCAGGCCGGCAACTTGCAGCCAACAAACACTCGGGTGCGAACTCGTGAGACGGCCAGTTCTATGGTTTCTTTTTGCGGAATGATTCCGCTTTCGAACCGATTGCAGAATTCATAACAAAGTAATGGTTATGTCCCAGGTCAATTTGCTACAATGTATCCATCCTAGGACATACTAAAATATGGTCCAAATCAAGCACATATTCTGAGAAAGATTTGTTGAAGACATCGAACACCGTGTCGGACATGTATCTGTTCGGGCATAGCTACATACATCCAATGTTATTTTTTTTTCAAAGCCGTCTACTCATCCATATATGCAATAAGTTACACATCTCTCTATGAACAATCTTGGTCAAGGGAATAAACAAAAACAAAGACACTCAATTTTTCCTTCACTCGGCTGGGTGATTGCAGGTGAACAGGAAGGCCTAGACCAAAAAATGGTGCGGTTCTCCGCAAAGCGGCTTGTCGCCAACGCGCCCTCTATTTTCAGTCCGCATCAACATCGCAATCATGGCTGCGAAACTGATTGAGCGACGTTTCCATAATGTCTCAGGTTTGTATCATCACTAATTAGCCCACGGGTGTTGAAACTGATAAATTTGACACTATCTAGGCAAACTTCGTGTTTCTGAGCTGCTCTTCGATGTCCCTGTGGACTACAACAAGCCTGCTGGGGACACGCTGAGGCTCTTTGCACGAAGCATCAGTCGCTTGAACAAACCCATTGAGCCTGCTAAGGAAGAGGGCAAAGAAGCCAAGGAGGGCAAGCTTCCTTGGCTGGTCTATCTTCAAGGTGGCCCTGGCTTTGGATGTGGTGCCCCGCAGTCTTACCCCTGGGTCGAATTCATGCTCAGCAAGGGATACCAAGTGTGTCATATCTCCTAAATTCTACCTTTTGTAGATTGATGCTCAACTATTCTCTAGGTGCTCTTTCTGGATCAACGAGGCACTGGCCTCAGTTCGACTCTCACAGCGGGAACCCTTGCTCGTCAGGGAGATGCAATCAAGCAGGCCGAGTATCTCAAGAACTTCCGTGCAGACAGCATTGTCCGTGATTGCGAAGCTATCCGTGATGTTCTGACACAGGACTATCCGGCTGACCAGCGCCGGTGGAGTATCCTTGGGCAAAGTTTCGGTGGCTTCTGTGCCGTGACTTACTTGTCAAAGTTGTATGTTTTGAGACTCATTGATCTCCATACTTGGATCTTGAACACCTCGCTGATATCATTTAACTTCCAGCCCGGAGGGCTTGAGAGAAGCTTTCCTTACTGGTGGCCTTCCCCCCCTGACCAACGGGCCGGATCCTGTCTATGCGAAGACCTATGGTGCGCTTCCCTGTTTTCCCGGAGTGGCTTATTCGTGACATTGACACAAAAAATAGAGAAGGTCAAGGAGAGGAACGAAGCTTACTACCAGAAGTTCCCCGAGGATGTGGCCCGTGTTAAGAATATCATGCAATACCTGACCAAAAACAAGGTTGCATTGCCATCCGGGTTGCTCACTCCGGCTCGCTTCCAGCAACTAGGCATCATGTTCGGCTTCCACGGTAAATCCCTCGATTCAGACAGTCGAATAAAGCTAACACGACTTAGGTGGTTTTGATAGCCTACACGGTAAGCCTTGCTTTGTCTCGTGAATGTCGTAGTAGAAATACTAACCCGAGTCTAGACATTGTTTTCAGAGTCTCAAACGATCTGGAGATGTTCGGATTCCTTACTCTGCCTACTCTTTCCGTGATTGACAGTAATGGCGGTATGGACAAAAATATCATTTATGCCATTCTGCATGAATCAATCTACTGCCAAGGGTAAAGAAAATCTTGCCGTCTGCTTTTGGCATATGTGTGTCTAACAAAAATATAGAAAGCCGTCGCTCTGGGCTGCAGACAGGCTGCGCGCTAGCAACCCGCAATTCCAGATCAATGACTCGTTGTCCGAGATCTACTTCACCGGCGAGATGGTAAATAGCCCAACCCAACCTAACCCAGAATTGTTTGAACAGAAAGATCTAACACCATTTCCCACCTTCCAGGTCTTCAAAGATATGTTCGAGTCTTACTCAGAACTCTCAAAGCTCAAAGAAGCAGCCGAAATCCTGGCTACAACAGACGAATGGCCGGACCTATATGACGAGGCTCAACTGGCCAAAAACAAGGTGCCAGTCTATGCTGCAACCTACATCGACGACATGTATGTTCACTTTGACCTGGCCACAGCCACTGCTGCCAAGATCAAGAACTCCAAGCAGTTTATAACCAACACCATGTATCACGATGCGCTGCGCAGCAGGTCGGGTGAGGTTATGCGTCAGCTCTTCAACTTGAGAGAGGACACAATCGATTAGTCCACATGTGTGGTCTTTTATTTTTTTTTCCCTACGTATTATGGATTTTCTAGCAATGCAACGTGATGAACCGAGAATATCTACCAGTAAATTCTACGAAGAGGTCTTGAGATATAAAAGTAGACTAGGATACTACCATAAACAATATATATGTAAGGTTGGCGGACGTAGTATTGGGTATATTAAATCACGAGAGAGTATATACAGAGAACTCCGTCCATTGACTGGCGGAGTTCGGATCCAGTGTTATTATTTGGGCTCATGTGACCCTCTCTCTTTCAGGCATGATTTGATTTTCGTGTCCCGGCGACCACAAAAGTGTTTTATGACTTAGTGCAAACGTAGGGAAGATATCAGAAAACCTGTTTCATATGATCAGTGTTGTCACTCGTGCCATAATAACCACAGAGACAAAGTACATACCGCACCGCCAATGATGAATAGCCTCTCTTCCTCACGCTGCACCCACTGAGCAATCTTGCTAGCGCTTTGGGCAAGTGCATTTCGATTAGTGTTCGGCTCGGCGATACAATAGAATTCGAATACAGGGGTTACCCATCCGAACGAAGTGGCTGACCGCGAAACACAGTGGTGTACTTTGACATGGGTATTCTTGGCGTGAATGCTCGCGTGCAAGTTGTTGTACATCGACATCAATCTATAGGCACAGTCAGAATGATTTAATATTGCAAGCATTCGTGAACAGCAGAGGGGATGTTGCTCACCTTCGCCGTCGAGTCACCGAAGCAAATTCCGGGACATAAGATGACATAGTGAATTGTACGTTTGCACGCGATTTGTATAAGAAATGATGTAGCACAGTTCCAGGAACTATATCAGTGGTTGCGGGTCGGCCATTATCAATTGCCGTTTTGATCTCCTTCAGACTGCCGTTTCTCTCCATTTGCTATTGCATCATTAGTACATGCATACCATATTCGATTGCGTGGAATTATGTAATCTCACCTCCACAAGAGCATCACGCATTCCTTGCATTTCAAAGAAAGCCTCTTTGTCGGGACTGATAAGAACAATGGCAACAGACTCATCTTTGGTGATCTCTGCACTAGTTTCGATATCGTCCCGAATGTCAAGAAAGCTCACATACATGTAGAGATAACCGCTGCTGTTGAAGCCAGGCAAACAGACGGGAATCCAACTTTCTCCACCGCCGGCTTTAACTCCGTCGGCCTCAAAAACCATGTTGAATAAGAGCTGTAGATCGCCTGGATGTAAGGAGTGCTTCTTAGGTCGGATAACACTGACGAGCCGTCCGCCGGCCACAAGCAAGCCATATAGAAGAGTACTAGCTTTGGTTTTCAGAAGTGCATTGTTGATGGCTTGCCGGTGTTGTTTGCGGATTTTCAGACACTCCAGAGCCGATAGTAGCGTCGATGGAGATCCTCGCGTGAAACTGTCTGCCAGAGATGAGAGAAGGGACTCCGAACCCTGTAAGGGCCGCGATAGATCAGTAGAGGGCCGCATAGAAAAGAGGTGGGTTAAAGAAGGCAGGGTTAATGTAGATAATATCTGCATATACAATGCTTCCAGTTGAAGCCGAAGCTGATTGTCGCTTTCCATCATACGGCTGATTGCAACAAGGTATAAAGACCCCCGTGTCAATACAACAAACCTGGTATCACCAGCGGAAAAGCCTCGCAGATGATCATTTGAATCCTCATAAAACGAAATAATGGTCTGAATAACCCCGACATATCCGGAAATCAGGCCGCTGTCACCATGCCTGGTCCAAATCGGCTTCCCAGCGGCGGATAGGATCACATAGTGCTTGCGCTTCGCTTTCCACCGTTGGAGGAGCAGCTCTGACATGCGTTAGCATTATGAAACAAGAGACGATTTATTATTGACCCAAACCTTCGTTATCACCTTCCTCATTAAGTTCGCCAACTGCTTCAAATTCGCTCAGAATTCCATCATCGTCTATATCGTCGGCCGCGAATTCAGGGAAGTCAAGTAGACCTGTAGCGCCCCTTTGACTACCAGGCTCCGTAGCAGCAAAGTCCATAAACAGCGTTTCAACATCTCCGGAATCACCATTTGGGACTGAGCTTCTGATACTCGCAGAGTCACCAGCTTCGCTGCTCCGCGGGCTCGCCAACTGGCTGAGGCTCGCCCTGGCTTTTGGACCCTGGGCCAGACCACGAACAGCTAGTGTGGAGTAAGTGCTACCAGGAGCTTCCGGTGGTTGTGTCTCGATATCGGTTCGCGAGATAGCCGTCGTTGCCTCTGCCTGTAGAGCTGACCGGGAGCCCGTTTCATCGTTCAATAGACTCAACGTATTTGGTCGCGGAGGTAAAGGTGGCCGTTCTCCCTCTGAGCTCTCATTACCCTCATCATAATCTGGGACTGAGGGCTTGGAAAGATACGGCTGCTTGGGGGTCTCGATAGGCTGTTGGCCCTCGGTCTTTGCGTCTTGCTGTGTATTCATCCCCGCTGCGGGCATGCGCTTTTTGACGCGGTCGCTCGTCGCGGGTCTTCAGGGAATTAAATGCACATTGTTTAGCTCAAATATTTCACGTCTTGATTAGTTGTGTTTGCCGATTTGATAGTTGCTGGGCATTGACGTCGGCGAAGTCGGAGCTATCCCAAGGCGGAACAAAACAACTGAACGTGGCCGCCTGCGTTGGCCTCTGGTCAACATTCAACCGCCAACCCCCTTTCCCACAGGGTCATCCTCGATGTCCTAAATATGACGGAGGGTAGTTCAAAAATTTCACAACAATTTTACGTCCATCATTGGCACCATGAGTCTTGATCCCAATGCCTTTCCGAGGTCGAATTCCCCCGCGAGCTCCGAGAGCTCCTTGACACGCTCCCGTCTACAAGGCAAGGAAGGTATGCGCCCACCTCAGGAACTGCACGAGAGGACTGTGTCTGATCCTACTTGGTGCTTGTAGGGTCCCTCAAAAAAGACAAGAACTATCGCCGATATGCATCTAGTGTTGAAAGAGCGCTTTCACTCTTCGACAACGCTCTCCAAGAATGGGCCGACTATATATCATTTCTCGGTCGCCTGTTAAAGGTGAGCTTCCTCGAATTAGTAGCGATGTTTGGCATCGCTGATAATGAACTATTAGGCACTCCAAAGCCATCCGCCTGATCAGCCCATCGTTCCTCATAAAGTGTTGGTGTCGAAGCGACTCGCCCAGTGCTTGAACCCATCGTTGCCGTCAGGCGTGCACCAAAAGACCCTCGAAGTCTACACGTACATATTTGGATTGATAAAGGTATGGGTGGCCACATGAAAGGCTCACAGTATGCTTACTGATGCATCTGTTTACAACCAGCTCGAGGGCTTATCGCACGACCTGCCTTTGTATCTCCCCGGCCTTGCGCCAACATTGACTTTCGCATCTCTTACTGTCCGCCCATTGTTTCTGTCTTTGGTAGAGGGATATATCGTTGATCTAGAACCATGGGCGATCCGTCCCGCCTTGAAAGCAATCATTCTAGCCCTACTTCCAGGCCTTGAAGAGGAGACAAGTGAAGATTTTGAGCCAACACTACGCACAATGAATAAACTGCGAGATGCTGCTGGACAACTTGAAACACAAAGGACGTCTGAGGCCGGGGCATCTGGACAGTATTTCTGGCAATGCCTCTTTCTCGCATCTATCACGAACCCTAGTCGACGGCTTGGTGTTCTTGCCTATTTGAACCGCTACCTCCCAAAGCTAGGTATCGCAGACCGTCGGCCAAGCACGGCTGGTGGGAACGATCCGCAGAACATCCCACCTGAGATACTGGCCGCAGCCGACTCTGTCATTCTACCGGAACCTGGCCTCTTGATTCGATGTTTTGCATCAGGTCTATCTGATGACCAGCTCCTTGTCCAGCGTAACTTCCTTGATCTTCTTGTCACCCACCTTCCACTCAGTTCTCCGATTTTGCAAAGCAAAATTGCGGCTACTGATCTTCGAACATTGGTTATTGCTGCGGTGGGTGTGGTCACTCGGCGGGACATGAGCCTGAACCGCCGACTCTGGGCATGGTTCTTGGGACCAGATTCCCCAAACGATAGTTCTTCGATGGATGATCGGAAATTATCAATGGAAACCGCTCGATCTGCGTCCGTTGATGGCAAGGAGCTCACACAATCACAATACTTCAGCCGGGTAGGCTTACAACCCTTAGTCACTGGTCTACTGGATATGATCAAACATGAACCGATTATTCCATCCGATAGAACCAAGCCCTTTCGCATAGCTCTGTCGTTAATGGATCGTTGGGAAATTGGTGGATATATTGTCCCTGCAGTTTTCTTGCCCACTGTACGCAGTGTTCAGGCATTTGAATCCACAGCCCCTGAGAACCACTTCGAAGAGGTTTTCCGCAGTGCGAGCGCCTTTTTTGATGGCGTTGAAAGTGGTGTGATATTCTCCGAGCTTCTGGGCTTGGTTGATTACCGGTGTTCTGATGTAGACATTGATAGCGACCAAGTGTTGCGTGACTTGGATCTCGCGCAGTTTATTATTGAGAATTTCAATGTCCGCGAGGAGGACATGGTTCAGATCCATGTACCTCTGCTGGCATTGTCAGTGCTCGTCAAGATGAGAGAGATCTCATCCAAGGAAAGCACTGCCAAACAGGCCGTGACCGCTGCATTGAACAAAGTTCTCAAATCGTTGACTGGTTTACTCACAGAGCGGGCGTTCTCGAGAAAGGCGGGCTCTGAAAAGACTGCTGTCAACGACACAAAGGGCCGTGGTACTGATATATTGAAAACTGTCCACAGTTTCTATGAACAAAGTAAAAATAGCTTGGAGCTTCCACCTCTTCCATATGCTCCTAAGAATCTTGGCGAAATGATTATCCGAGAGGCTCACGAACTGGCTATCGCGACGCTAAGAAGCCGAGATGGCGGCCTATCTGTTCACGAGCCACTCGATATTCTTGTGACTTTGCTCAAGAAGCTTCCAAAGTCCCGCGTTCTACGAGATCGCAAACTGTATGAAGCGCTCTCTCAGCGACTAGGTTCAGGGAAGGACAAGCCAACAACCGCCTCCTTCTCTGTCATATCGACCATCGCTTCGACAGTGACAAGTTTGTTTTTCATTCAGACCCCCGGCTTCTATGTCAGCTATGAGGATGCTTGCGATCTGATTACCCCTCTTGTCAACCAGCTTTGGTGGTACTTATCTCCCCTAAGTCCAAAGTTTCACGTAGAAGCCGTTCGCTGCTTATGGCTCCTGCATTCAATTTCTTGGATTGACCACCTTGTCGAGGCGTCGCTGACAGCTTTAATGCTCAATATGTCAACCGCAGCATCCCGCCACCTTTCGTCAGAGCAACAAGCTGAGCGATTCTATGTCTTATGGAATCACAGTCATCACAACACACATGAGCAGCCGCCAAAGCAAGTGCTTGATGTTGGAGGGACCTTGTTCTCTTATCAATGTTCTATGCTTGAACGCCCACTTTTTATTGTCCTTGATCTTCTCTCCCAAGAGTCGAGCGATAGTTCGCAAAGCGTGCAACTATGGCTGCAGGACTTGCCATCTATCCACAAGTAAGACGGCTTTTCATCCCAACGCGTGATCCATAACTAATAGTTTACTAGGGTTTTCCATGTGGTCATCTCAAATCTTGATGAGCTTTCTGAATCTGATGAAACTAGCGAGAAAAAGACAGACACCTACTCAATTTCCCCTGATGACTACAAGGAATGTGCCTATTTGTTACAGACAGCTTCAAATATCATCTCTGCGCTTTCGCACAACGGATGGATCGCACTTCTTACTCATGTGCTGGGCAATGAGAAGCGCCTTGAAGCGTCCAAAGCTGAAGGTGCGTAATTATCTTCTCACGAAACAATTGTTGCTAATATGATTTCTTGGATAGAAAATGCAGACTTCAAAAGCCTCCATTCCGCCATATTTGAAGCATCTCTTCGAATCGTCAGCACACTATCACCAGCACCTACGGAATTGAATCTAGATGGAGAACGACTACATAAGGACGCACTCCAGCTCATGCGGCAACTTCTTCTTGGGCCCCGAGCCGAGGAATTAGTGGAGTCTGGCATTGACGATTTCTTGGTGGAGCGCCTTCTTATCTCCTCCGAGGGGTCCAGTATTGTGGTGCAGGGTGCACTAATCGATACACTCCTTGCTGCACTGAAGGTGCGATTCGCACAAGCATATCTACCACCCCCGCCACCTCGGCCAAAACACCTACGAGCTAGCTCTCGTGACCGTCTGACAAGTCCTTCGATCTTGTCTTTCACCAGCGACAAGGCAGACAGGAGACCATCGCTACCTCAGCTACCGCAGCCGCCAGAGCGGCTTCTGGATTGTCTTTTAAAGGGAATTAGCTCACCTAAATCCCGAGAAATTGTAGACAAGTGGATAGTGCTGCTCTGCGAGGTGCTCCCTCTATACTCAGGTACTATATTCCAGATCCTATTGATGCTCGTGGAATGTTTCTGCAGGGAAATTCGAGCATCATATGGCAGACTTCAGCTGTCCTTCCAGCAAACAGAGGATTGGCCGCAGGACCGTTCCGAGCATGTCACAATTGCTCTTCTGACTGGCCTCGAGACCTGTATTGCAAATGCACACGAACGTCTCATCGAGGAAGAGTCCAACGTTCCAACAGTCAAGAGCCCTGACCAACCGCAGGGCTTTTTCGGAAATATGGTGTCTGGGGTATTCAACTCGGAAAGCGGGCAAGGTCGCCCAAATACCGCCAACGACCGCCTGACTGTTCTTCTCTGTTTCCAAGACGCCGTTCGCCTCTGCTTCTCTATTTGGGCGTGGGGCGCAGGCGATCACAGTGGCTCTCCACCAGATTTTGAATCTTTGGCCTCATTTCAATATACCTCGTTGCGAATGAGAAACCGCTCACGACGAATCTTGGAGCACTTCTTTACTGCGGAGGCACTTGAATGTCTTGAGACATTGGTGGAAATGTGGACCAAGTCTGACACGGAGACAGCGTCACTTATCTTCAATCTCCTCCATACACTCGACGGATCAAGCCCAAAGATCACCATCCCGGCCATTTTCAATGCAATTTACACTCGCACTAATCCTAATGCCTTGGATCCTAGCCGGAAGTCTTCGTTAACATCCAATCTCTCTGAGTCCGAGCTTGCTAGCTTTTTGGTTACTTATGCCCGCTCACTGGACGATGATGTCCTTGACGAGATTTGGACGGACTGCACAACTTTCTTGCGCGATGTTCTTAGCAATCCATTCCCGCACCGGCAGATTCTTCCACGTTTGATTGAATTCGCGGCTATTTTGGGGGTGAAATTGGAGAATACGACTTTTGGCGAAGACCGCCGTATGCGAAAAGAACTTGGAGTATGTGTATCCACTACTGATTTTATCATAATCACTAACAATTATAACGCAGGATGTTCTCCTACGACTCCTTACCGCAGTTTTTACTAGCAAGCCTCTAGGCCTCAACCAAGACACTGGGCCTATGGCAACATCTTCGGTGGATTATGACCGTACCTCGGTCTCTCATACTGGACCCGATGACATGCTGAGCATTCTAGCGGTCTCTATGCCGTCGTTTATCACGACCCTGGGTGATTCAGATCGGGTCAATACCGCCATTACTAGTGTCTCGACTAATGTAGTGGGCCCTCTCATTCGGTCACGTCTCTTCCCTAACAATCTCAACCGTAATGTCATGATTCTTCTACAGCAAATGGCAAAAGTACCAGCAGCGGCGAAAATGTGGAAGAAGGACATATCCGACGCGTTCAATGATGTCCGATTCTTTGGATTGCAATTGGATTTGGTGAAGAACAGCTGGATGGACCTGCTGCGCCAGTGGGTTCTCGCTGACAAGGAACGGCTATCTGAACTTCTTGTCCGCCTTCCACCACCAAGCTCAGCGGGCATCATGTTCGGCGTAGGAGCCTCTGCGGCCCGATTGGAAGCCGATCGCAAAGCGCAGCTCAACCTCCGGCGAATCGCGCTACTCCTGCTTTCTGCCAGCGATGATTACTTTGTCGGTGAATTGCCGGCGTTGCTTCAGAAGCTGGAAGATCTTCTTGCGGCAACCAGCTCCTCGTCGCCATCTTCCGCCACTCGGGCGGAAATATTTATGGTTCTTCGAGCAGTCGCGCTCAAGACCTCTGCCGCCCCCATGGCGCCATTCTGGCCCCTGATCAACACTGAACTGCAAGAAGCCATCTCAGCAGTACCCCATGGCTCTCAGCCGGAGGTCTACAACCCTTACTCACTGCTTCAAGCGTCCAAGCTGCTCGACATACTGCTTGTCCTCGCCCCAGACGACTTCCAGCTCCTTGAATGGCTTTTCGTAACTGACACGATTGATGCGGTCTATCCACCCGACCGCTGGGAGCCCATCGCTCTGGCAGATGAAGTTTCTCAGACTTTTGGTCCACGCGGTGCAGGCTCACCCACTCTCCCCACGGAGAGCATCGAGCCCCAAGCTCGCAGTGGTCTTAAGCGGCCATGGCTCATCTCAGACTGGATCCGAGAGACAGCCAAGGACGATATTGTCGAGAGGGTCCTGCGACCGTTTTTCGCTCGATTGAGTATTTATGTGTTTGAGAGTACGTACGGTATGGGCAGCGTAGATTCGATAGTATGCCGAAATGATCTTTTGGCGGATCTCTTCAACGAGAACACAATGGCCAATTAAGGGAAGCAATACGTTATGTACTTTAGCTTTCCTACGAGATATCGCATTCGAATGATTTCATATATTTTGTGTGACTGTAGTCTCCCTGTTTGTATACAAACCCCCTTAGGCAAGTTCCGAGCCGCCCGGACCTCCGCAATTCATCAACGTCACTTCTAACAAACTCCACTTGCCACCATCTTCCACCGAACAATCCATAAATCTCCCCTCTACGGTTAAAATAATATTGCCAATATGCCTATTGGCACAAAGATCTTTCTCCCTTTGCGCGGACGCGTCGGCATCCGGTCCTTCTCATCGTCCGGTGCCCGCTGGGAGTCCACCGCGCTACCGGCAAGCAAGCCTGTTGGAGCTTTCCGAGGAGGGTATGGGAAATTCTCCTATTTTCAATGACATTCAGCGTCAATTGGTCACAGCGTCCAAGATATTTTTGCTAATATCCACTAGTGTGTTCGGGTTCCTGACTGGATCTGTCGCCGCCGGCGCGTTGGTGTACTATTACATCCTAACAGAGTACCGTCTCGCCAATGAGACGTTGTCTGAAGATATTGCGGTACGTCTATAGCTCCCTGCTGAGTCTTTGAGAGGGCCCCCATTTTCTCTTCGATGTTTGTCTTTGCAGAACTGATTGTTCTCTTTATAGGCACTTCAAAAGGCTACCATGAAGCTCCAGACATACATTACAGAACTGGAGTCCAGGGTTGATACGCTGCACAAAAAGAAATAAAAACTTGACCAGTATGTTTCATCTGTGTATTTATTATGACTGGGATGGGCTGGGTGCGTTTTATTTCTGTGTATGAAGCTTGTCAACCCTGGACATGACCACTATCGCTTTTCGATGGCCAGGGGATAGCTTTTTCTTTATTTCTTTGTTCTTTTTGCATGAAATTAGTCCCAGGTTCTAAAATATTAGCATTTCCTTTCCCAACAATCGATCAACTAAATCTTTCGTCCTGTGCGGAGTACATACCAAACTCCCCTGCAAACAAGACAAACATTTATTCATCTCCAACAAATTCCCCCGGCCATCATCCACTTCCGCATCATCACCAAACCTCCCAACACACCAAATCCCAAAATGTTCCGCGTCGAACTCGTCTCAGACACATCAACGGCCACACCAGGCTGGTCTTACGCCCCAACCAGGGGCTTCGACCCGACACAAGCGATGGCCCCAACCCTAGGCCGCAAACGCGGCATCCGCGACGCCGGCAAGGGCGGCGACATCTCCTCTCGACAAGCAAACGCGATCGCACGTCACATCGCCGAACTAGACCGCGAGAACCAGCGCGACGTCGCCATCCCAGCACCAGTGAAACAAGCCCGAGAAGCTGGCGCCCGCGGCACGCGAGCAAAGACCACCTCGAACGTGCGACGCATCCTGCAGTCCCAAAAGACCTTCCGGAACCACCTCGACGACGAAGAAGCAGCAATAGCCTCAGGCAGCGGGGGGATAGGAGGCATGCAGGGCGCAGGAGGCGCAAGCGTTGTCGCGCAGGCACGGAACAGCATCGCCGCCAAGGGAGGCAAAGCTGCTGCTACTTTGCGCCGCAGCGCGACGCCGGCTAGCACTGCGGGTGCCAAGCGTCCGGCGGCGGCCATGGCGGACACAACAGCCGGTGTGTCGGCGCCCATGCAGGAGACCGCCGACGCTGAGCCGGATGCCGACGATAAACCGCCGCGGAAACCGAAACTAATCAAGTCGCAATACGATAATGATCCCCTGCTGCGCTCGTATGCACCCCCTGTGCCTCCTGATCGGCTGATGCAACGGCTACTGGCGGAGCCGCCGCTTTCTTATAGTGCGTCGCGAGCGAAGCCGCCAGCGTCGGGGCGGCCCGGGCGGCATTTTTGTTGTATGTGTGGGTATTGGGGGAAGATCCGGTGCAAAAGTTGTCATTTGAGAACTTGTAGTCTGGATTGCTACAAGGTCCATGAGGATTCGAGGTGTGGAGCTTTCTTTTAGGGGGTGTACTTGTACTTACTATACGAAACCCTACTAGTATTGGGAAGGAGCTTGGCCTAGCCCTGTCCTACTGATGACTTTATGAATTGATACCAAAAACTGTACAATAGTCAATATGAATCTTAATGTGACATACAAGTCAAGACTTGATATATATTCATCTCATTATAGCCAGGTTCTAGCCACAAACAATTTCTAAAATATGTTTAAAAACGCTGTTTAAAAGCTCAGCATTTCAGGTTGATGCCCGCGCGAAGCTCGCCTTCGCGAACCTCAAACATAACCTGCACGCCGACGAAAAGTACGACGCAGCAGGAAATCATATACGCCAAGCCAGAGTATGAGCCTGTTAGGCTGGCAAGCAGATCCTTTAGTCCATCCAGACCCAATGCAAAGCCGACCAAGTTTGCTATCATCATCATAAGGACGTTCCCAACGGAGCCAATGCCACAGATGACACGGTACGCAGTGGGATGAGAGCGCCAGCGGTAGGCCGGGAAAAACATGCCGCCTAAAACTTCTGGTAGAACGAAGAGAGTAACGAGCCAGCCCCACATGAGCAAGCGGAGGTTGATATCGTGCCATAAGGCGACGAAGGTAAAGACCAGCAGGAAGTTGCGAATTTGTAGGAACTTGCCCATGAAGTTGGACTGTCGAGATGAAGCCGGTTTGGGCGCCCCGGGTGACCGCCGGCCATCACCGCCGCCGCCCAGTGGGATGTAGATGTAGCGGACGATCCAGCGGTTGTAGGAGCGGTGCCAGCCACGCCAAAAGGCCAAGGCGGAGTAGTTGTTGGACATGCAGCGAACCATGTTTTCTGGTGGGTCAATCCCGTCTACAAGAGCCCAAAGACGGAAGAATCGCCATGGGATGAGGAGTTTCAGCCAGATTATGTGCAGGTTGAAGAAGGCAAGCATACTCAGTTGCCCCGGGGTGAAGACAGACCAGTCTGGGTTAGCTTTGGAGATTGCTACTGCATAGATATAGTGGAGGATGAGCTCCATGCAGAGCACGGTGAGGCCAAAGCGGACGGCGTACATCACGATGCGAGTTCGTGTGAGCGACGCCGATGTATATCGCTGTTGAGATACGTAGTCATTGAATGTCAAGATCGGACCCGCCAGATACAAAGGTGAGTAGAGCACATAGGCAATGTAGTTGCGGAATGTAAAAGCAGCTGGTTCTGCAGGGATCTTAACCCGGTCACGGTCAGAGAGGGTCGCAGGGTCTAGTTGCTTCTTCTTGTTGAATTCGGTCAGTTTGATTGTCACATGGGGTTGATGGCTTCGGAAGACCTACTTCAATTAGACTTCCTGCAGGGTAGTCTACACTCCAGTAATTATCCATGTTGAAACTGATGAGGCGCAACACTGTGACCTTGAAAAGTACCTCCCATCGCGGCATCAAGCCCCCTAGATGATCGAGAGTTTGAGCCCATTGGACTAGCGCGGTGGCTCCATCTTCTGACGTCCCAGACCCCAGAGAGAACACCTTTGCTATCCGCTCAAGGGAGTAGCCACCGCTTAGTTCGTTGGCAAACAAGATGCCGAGGTTGAAGACCCATGTGACGGTAGGCACGTAGGCACGCGGAACATCCTTGCCAATTCGGAAGTTGATATACAGAATCAACAATACTTTGAAAGCAGATACTCCATGAAGCCCTACTATGAAGAACAGTCCGAACCAAAAGTCGAAGCGCATTCGCTGTTCAAGTTGCGCCTCGCCCGCACTGACCACGGAATAGCTCGATTGTTTTGTTCCAACATTCGAGCGGTTGATGTGTAACTGATAAACGCGGCGAGCCAAAGGATGAGCGATTAGGAGTAGTAGAAGTGCAGGAATGTTGTCGCGAAAGCTTTCATATTGCACATCGGAGTTGTCCTAAGGCCAGAGCAATAATGTCAGTCGGGACTGGCCTCATAGATATGAATAGCTGAACGCCGAGTGTTGCACACTTACCACCTGACGGCCAGGGATCCAACCGGGTGATAAAAGGTGAGAGTATGTGGAGTAGGCTGGGTGGCTTTCTGTGACGTTGATCCGCTGTCAGAATTTGTAGGCCCAGCATTTTCTCCGGCCTACACTCACCTTTCGAGACATCGATGACGGTCTTGAACATCAATGGAACAAGAGTGATAAAGAACAAGTAGTAGACAAAGAATTCTGGTGTGCGCCAAAGTGAAGGTGACGCGCCCTGGGCGATTGCATTGCGGGTATCCTTGGTGGAAGGTCGTGTGTTGGTGTTGGCAGGGGTTGCGGAGGAGGTGAAACGAGTGTCAAGGGTATCTAGCGAATAGACCCGCCGAAGCCAGGCGAAAATGGAGGGCATTTTATATCAGTGGCATGGCCGGCGCAGGTTTGGAGAAGTTGAACTCGGAACATTGAGATTCCAGTGTTTACTCAGGGGCCCGAAGCACCGCCACGTAGGTGGCCTCATCTATATCCTATCTCGACACGGAGTAAAATCCCAGTCTAAAATCAAAATAAAATAGATTTCCCTTGCATATCGAAATAACTGAGGAAATGTTCAGTGTACTGTCTATTGTAATGTTGTAGATCCTTTTGCGGAACCAATCAGCACCAGCCAATATCACATCGAGTACAACCTCCAAGTATTCATCTCCCAGTTGATATCACAGATCTAGTTTCAATGCAAAGCATTGCGACGTCTTGCACAAATGATATCGACGTGGCTTGGCCCTTAAGGTTAAGATAAGTTTGCGGGGGCCAAGACTCGGGCTTGACATCAACCTCTACCTCATACACTTCAACTTCTACCCAACTCTTCCAAATACCATATTTCATCCCAAAATGTCACACATGCCACAAACTCGAGTATGTCCTCTACTACATATTCATTCAGCCATATTTCTAGAAGTAAAGCAAAAGCTATAGGTTTCCCCTGCTGATATGCTATCCATTTCAGATTGCTTTCAAAGTCCACGGCACCGTTCAAGGTGGGTCGACCTTTAAACACCACCGTATCCTCTGACGCTAACATGGATCCCTAGGTGTCGGCTTCCGGTAGGAAATACTGTCCATCTTAACAGACGACATCATAGTCCCTCGATTAACCAGTGGCTACCTATCGCGTACTATAGAGACTTCACCCAAAAGTGTGCTAATCTCGATGAGCTCAACGGCTGGGTCAGAAATACCACTTGCGGAAGGGTGGGTACTGCTTATCGTGTCTCCGGATAGACGGCTTACCAGATCTTATCAGGTCGAGGGCGAGGCCCAGAGCAGTGACGAAAAGGTGCAGAGATTCCTCCAGCGCATCCAAAAGGGTCCCTCTAGGGCTCTTGTTGTGAAGCTGGAGAAGCGGGAGCTAGATGTGCGTGATGACGAGGAGGGGTTTGTTGTGATGCGGACAGCAGATTCCATGTTTGAAGCAAGGGACTAGGAGTTGGGTTCTTTTCGCTCTGATACAATAATCAGAACACAAGTGGAGGCCAGAGCCAGGTGGATTCTTCTACTCCATCATTATTCGAAACCCATCCTTGGTATTGACCGTACAGCTACGATGCTACCTAATCATGATGAAATCTACATTCTTGCTATTAATAAGTCAATACTAGCCGGAGTGTTCGGGGTCTCTTTGACCGCGCGGCACTATTGTTTCTAGAATACAAACTTCTAGCCATAACAGCTGGAACCCAATGGCTTAGCTAGTGTAGCAGTGACTGACAGGGCAGACAACAGGCAAAACATTGGGATAAGGCTAAGAATGCAAAGTCACAGAATGTGAGAAAGAAATGTAGAAGGTTGAAAATATGGAGACAGGCGACTAGCGATTCAGGGAGCAGATTGGATAATAATAGAAAAGGGAAAACATAACCATTAGCTATTAACCTATTTGTAATGCTCATCTAACTATGTACTTTGAACGATGATATCACCTAGCTTGTTATAATACTAGGTAAAGCCGGTACGCATAATCTATGCATTGGTACTCCGCAGAGATATCCATATTGAAGGAGAGTACTCGGTACGGAGTATCGGCAGAGGATGGATATAAGGAAGGAGAATGACAGCCTTGACAAAAGGTAAGCGGACCTTGACTTGCAGATGAAGACATTTGACAGGCTCTTTATATATGCATCGATCTATTATTATAGATCTTTCATGCCGAGACTCCGTGCCAGTGCTTTGATCGGCAGGAAACGGGCAGGGATATTCGCCTTTTCTCAAGGCTACCAGCCAATCGATCATGCAGTCGCCGGTAAGATAGAGGGAATGGATATTTTCAGGATCCCGGAACCAGAAAACGACCTCAAAATAACTCCGGGCTTTGTCGCCGGCTATTTCTCGGGATCGCCTTCGCCTGGCGGGCTGAGTCATATATCGGTGTTCACCCGGGCCGGTCCCTCCCGAGAACAAGGATATGACCGTTTTGAGTAGTCTTGGTCATAACGTGGAATATGGCGTAGAGATAATGGGAAGGCTGATGTATTCAGTTGTTGTTTGAAGTATATCAACAGGGATATGATCTAGAGGAATAAGTGATCTGATAATGGCAGAATGGGGGAATATCTGGGTGTTGCGGCAATGAACTATACGGAATGCCATCATCCCAAGGGTATAACCTAAGCAGTTCCAGGGGCTTTCTTTAACTTTTTTTGCAAATCCCTGGTTATATTCGCCTTCCGATGATTGGTAGGTTATATATTTAAAGCCTTAAAAGATTAGGGGGTGTCCACTTGATCTGTGCAACCGAGACTTTATCTTAAACATCTGTATATTCCCTAAACTTCCTTATATTCTTTCACTTTTCTTCGTCTCAATCATCTTCACCATTTACAATACATTTATCACCCTCAATCTTGACTTGACTTCAAACTCGCTCTCGTTGGCCACATCATGAATACTCTCTCAGTTAGGGCTCCCATGAGGGCTGCGGCGAAGCCGCAGTACCACCTTGTTGTACGAACCTACTCGGGAGTTGCAGCAAAGACATTGAAGCCCGCACGTGGAATCAACAAGCGTACAGCGGTGTTCAGCCTCACACCCAAGCGTCCTATCTCGTCAACACCTCAGAAAAACAACAAGGACTTCTTCCCACCACCCAAGACTCCTAATGTCAAGCAGGTGCAAACAGCCTGGGTGCATCCAGTGTAAGTATATCGGCAGCCCCTCTCTCTGAGCCAGACACTAACTCTATGCCAGATACTCCGAGGAACAAATGGAAAATATTCGCATAGCCCACAGACAAGCTTCAAACTGGTCCGACTGGGTTGCCCTTGGAACAGTTCGTGTCTTCCGATGGGGTATGGACACAGCGACAGGATACAGACATCCTAAGCCCGGCGAGAACCTGCCGAAATTCTTCAGAATGACCGAGCAAAAATGGTTAACTCGGTTTATTTTCTTGGAAAGTGTGGCCGGTGTCCCCGGCATGGTGGGCGGCATGCTGCGTCATCTCAGTAGTCTTCGCAAGATGAAGAGGGACAATGGATGGTATGTCTACCCAAGTCAAGATTCAAAACGATATCACCTCAATACTAACCCACTTCCTTCGTTCTAGGATTGAAACCCTACTTGAAGAAGCATACAATGAACGCATGCACCTCCTTACCTTCCTAAAACTGGACAAACCAGGCTGGTTCATGCGCTTTATGGTTATCGCAGCCCAGGGTGTCTTCTTCAACGGATTCTTCCTGGCATACGTGATCTCCCCCCGTATTTGCCACAGATTTGTGGGATACCTTGAGGAGGAGGCTGTCATTACTTATACTCGTGCTCTTGAGGAACTAGAGAGCGGCAAGCTTCCCGGGTGGGAGAAACTCGAGGCACCCGATCTCTCGGTTAAATACTGGCAGATGCCAGAGGGTCACCGCAAAATGAAGGACCTGCTGTTGTTTGTCCGCGCCGACGAAGCCAAGCACCGCGAGGTTAATCACACCCTCGCCAACCTCAATCAGACTTACGATCCCAATCCCTACCAGATTGAGTACACCGATCCGAACAAAATCCACCCGACGAAGGACATTGATAACCTCAGGCCAGCTGGTTGGGATCGCAAGGAGATCTTTGGTCCTGAACCGAGAGGTGCGAAGGACATTCATGACCTCAAGCCAGCTGCTTGGGACCGCAAGGAGATCTTTGTTGAACCGAGAGCTGTGAAGCATTAAGGCATTCCAAACGCACATTTTGACAGGCGTTTCAAATATAGAGGATTAGAAAGGGTTATTTATCATAGAATGGCATATACATCTCTTTTCCATTGGGCTTGAAGTTGTACGGAGTATACAATGTAGACATGTAACGCCACGTGGAAGTTTTAATGTTCGAACCTTGGAAGGTTCCAGTCATCGAACCATGGGATGCGGGGCACAAGCTAAACCTTACCAGGCAATTCAGGAACACGTGGATGTTCGAGGCCCTGGAAGTATACAGCATCATGTTACTATACTCCGTGCTCCGTATAGCTTCATAACTTCCGATCGATAATCAAAAAGGGGTGTCACGGGCCTCATTGGTTCATTTCGGTGGAAAATAGGAACACTCATCTCTTTCAACTCCATGGCAGTTGACCCGCTTCCCCTTTTAGCCCCGGTTAGTCGAAGCCCCCCCTTTTGGCCCAAAAGCAGTTTTTCGTCCGTCGATCCTACAGGTCTCATTAAACCTTGGTCCTTTCATTAATAGATTTATATAAAAGCCGTTGCTCGTCTAGGGATCGTCCAGCCCTCATTGTTAACGTCACATCGTCACCCCCGCAGAATACCCCGTCACTGTGAACGTTCTAGTGATTGGTCTCCACGCGACAGATCCATTCCTTCTGACCCGGTGACAATTCAAATTCAATCAAGATGGATGCGCCCCGACGGTCCATGGACTCTAAACCGGCAGCGTCTATACGCGACTCCTCGCCGTCACCATCTATTCCGGCAACGCCAGCTATCTCCTCATATTCCTCCCCAGACCGCACGTTTTCCTCCGAGTCCTCCCGCTCGACCTCCTCCGCTACCTCCGCAGATGCCAGATCGTCTGTATCAACATCATCCCGGCGCCATGGATATACCCGTGCATTGGGTGCCAAGTTCTCGGAATCGGCACGCCACCGCGACAGCGTCATGAGCCTCGGCAGTATCGCCCACTTACAATACTATTTTGCCAGGACGGGCTTACTGGACGGGAAGAGCGGAAGAAGTCGCGAGTGGGAAAAGAACAAGAAGAACAGAAATAATGTGCCACGAGTCCTGATCACCCCGAATCAACGACACATGGATGATGATCTGGTCGCGAGCCCGTCAGGTATGGCAGACCTGACGGAGGGGGAATTTGAATTTGAGGACGAGGACGCCGAGGTGATGCTGCCGCCTACAGTCAGCACGTACAGCATCAAAACGCACCACATCCCTCCTCCTCCAGGTCTGCTTTTCTTGCGCCGGCAGCTTACGCTCGCGCTGGATAAGGCAGAGTCTAATATCGAGGCAATCCAAAATGGCATGGAGCCTCCTCCCCGCCCAATCCTCAGATCGAGTCTTTCTCCGGACGATGTCCCAAATGAGGACGATCAATCCGGGCAGGCCGCGCCCCCGATGAATAAAGAGGAGTTGCAGGGTATGTGCATCCTCGACGATGTTACAAATGCCATCCGCGCAGCCAAAATCTACTATACCACCCACGAGTACCCAGAGCGCTTGGCATCAATAAAGAGCGAACGGGACATCCGCAAGGAACTTTTGGACGTCCTGGAAGTTTTGAAGCGGTTTTCTGCCCGGCATTTTGCCAGCGGTCTGCGCGAGGAGGAACGTGAGAAGATTCAGGGGTGGATCGCGGCTGTGCGCGTCATGCTAATCCAGGAAAAGAAGCTGGAAGACCTTGAAGCTCAAGAGCGGCAGAATTGGGATTGGGCTGCTGGCGATTGGACGGGCCGGGAGCGCTCACGCGAGGAGTCCTTCCTGCGCAGCCTCTTGCCTGGCGGTGACTCCTTACCGACCTGGACACCGGTTGAGGAGACTCCCGCCGACTCCCTTCCCACTGCGTTTCTTGATAGGTTCCGGGACGGCCGTGCCCTGGTTCAGTTACACAACCTTGCGATCAAGAAGTCGAAACGCAAATTTGGCGACATTACGGCCTACCACCTAGACATTGAAAAGCCGTACCGGCAGACTGAGAATCTCCAGTTCTGGGTAAAAGCTGCAGAACTCCGGTGGGAGCTCCGGCTGGATGTTGATGTTATGGGTGTTGTACAGAATAGTGGCACTACGGCTTGGGAGCAGTTCGATACTGCATTGTTGGCTTGGTGTAAAACCGTCCGCGAAGAGCTAGTGCGCGATTGGCAGGAGGCTAACCCTGGTCGACCCCCGAGTGCTGGGTTGATTTGAGGGCTCGTTGGAAGTGTTGGAAATTCGTGTTTGCATCTCGATTGTTTCCTTTTCTCTTTGATATCTTTATGTGCACTTGATACGATACCCCTGAATTGTCGCCGACTCTTCCGCCTCTGCTATTTTGATTTTTCTTGATCGTTGGTCTCCTTTCTAATTCTATTTATTGTATATTAATTGTATAGTATCTCACGTTGCATTCCATTGACGCGTACATGCATCATCAGATTGAAGCTTTGAACATTTATCCCTGTCTTGTTATAGTGCTTAGTCCGCATTGGGATATCTCATTGCTGATCGGAATGTACAAAGAAGGGACTAGCTTCCTTTGGCATTAATTTCTTACAAGATTAGTCGGCCGCGTTGTGGTCTCTGTCAAGGTGGCTCGATGGTAGTCTTTTGAGATGCCTTTATCAATGTCTTTTTATAGATATCTTCTCTCCCTGCCTAACTCTTCTTGGGCAGAAGGCATAAACGGTTGGAAAAGGCTGGAAAAGGGTTAAGTTGTGAAAATGACTCAGATATAAACTTTCTTTAATGCATTTTTGATCGACAAACCTCGTGCACAGAGAGGTTGTACTATATGTATATAGGGCAAGGAGGTGAGATTGATATATATACAGCCCGGTGTGTTAATAGAAATAGTGAATACCACTCAACTGAAACCGTTGAAAGAAAGAAAACAAAGAACACAAGAAGAAAATAAAACAAAAGTGAAATGATCTCATTTCGTTGATCCCCTTGAATTACATACCGAGGAGGTACATCAAGCCCCATAGTCAGTAGTACGGGGCTGGAGGTACCCCATTCTACAGCGCATACTGGCCACCTTATCCCTCTTTTCATTCGTTTCAATGGTTGCTGCCCGATAGTATCTCACTCTTCATGAGACTTTACATTTAGAACCTCTATTAATTGTTGCCATGTAGCAGCATTTCTCTCCGACTCTTTGAACAGCCAAAAAGCCAGCCTTAACCCGTTAAAAAGGGACTCCCTGTTACCGAGCACCGAGCAAGACCAAACATTCCTTGTATCCCTGTCTGAACCACATCCTTTGGTCTTTTTGCTCTTTCAATTCCCCCAGGGCCTGTCTCCATGCATGCCACAGCCGACAGTCCACCTTTCGCGACCGACCTCGCGACAAATCCTTCCAACACCTCTACAATACCTACGTCGCCCCCATCGCTCACCCCCGCGCTCTCCGTCTCTCCAAATGACTCCGGTACCTCCACCCTCCGACGCCTGAAGTCCAAATCATCCCTGTGGAGCTTAGGAAGCAGCAACAACGAAGAAGAACCTGTCCCTGCTGAGCCGACTAGCGCCGGCCGACCATCCATCCTCCGCCGACTTTCTCCCGCCCTCGCGGCTCGGGTCAAGCTGCTGGACAGCAGTAATAAGTCCGCGGCGCAGAACCGGAATGCCAATGCAGTCGGTCGAATACCCGAAGAGCACCTGAAGGAGCTTGACAATCTCCACCAAGACCTGTCGATCAAGGTAAGGAGGAAGGGCCAGGCGTGGAATCGTGCCAACACATCACCTGGAGAAAACGAGGAGTTCAACCGGAGCGCATCGAACCACCTCCAGCTTCCCCACCAAGATATCCTACAAGAGATTGCAGACGCGCGAAGAGATAACCCGGAGTCATCCGAAGCAGTTGTGGACGGTCCTAAACTGCCCACTCCGGCCATAGTTTCGGCGACTGCTCAGCCCGGGGAACACATCAGCCCACCCACGCCCATGTCTGTCGCAGAGCCGGTTCTCGCGCAGCCGCGCGCAGCCCCAATGCCGAACTCGCGACGTCCCAATGACGTTCAAGATGACAGGACCGATTTCGAAAAATATGTTGATGATACCGCACGAAGAGAGGAACGGTCCGCTGAAGAGCAGTCCGCTCCGAAACCCCCTCCCAAAGACTCGCCTCCCATCGGCGCCACCCACTCGCGCTCTTCGTCCAACTCGCAATCATATTTTAACCCAATGGGTTTGCAGCGCGCCGACTCAATATATTCTTTCTCCCGTGCCTCTTTCAGCAACCAGCTCTCGCAGCTAACCTCCATCCCCCTCCCACAGCCAGCTTCGCTCGAGGCAAGCATCGAAAACATTTCCACGGCTTTGTCTGCAGTCCGGGCCTTGAACGGCGCTGCAGAGCAAATTCAGATTTGGATCAAGAAGGCCTCAGATGTCCTGAGCGGCTTGGATTCTGAAGATGACGTGGAATGGGCTGCGGCTGGTGGCCGGGAGGGGCTAGATGAAGTCGATAAAGCAATCACGCGCTTCGAGTCCCTCGTCGATGTGTATGTTAGGGCTATTGAGAATGTCCAACTTCGAGATGACATTGCCAATGTGGATGTGGATAACTTGAACACTATCGTGAGCCAGATGGAGAGCATTCTGCAAAACTGGACTCAGATTAAGAAAAAGCTGAAAGGCGTGAAAGAACAGGTTGAACTGGCAATGGAGTGGGAAGAGCTTTGGTCGAACGTTCTGGGCGATGTGGGCGTGGAAGTTGACAACTTGAGTGCCCTGATATTTGAGATGGAAGAGAAGCGACATCAGGCATTGATGGATACGACCGATACCAGTGGTGGCCTTGATATCAATGAGCTGGAGACTATTGTGGAAGAGTCCCCGATGAAGGGCCGCAGACATTCGCAGAATCGTCTGAGTATTGGACCTCTCTTGACCTCGACGTCTGACACTCCCGTTATTAAAACACCGCAGGATGACACGAGCCACTCTAACCTCATGGCTATTTTTGCACGCATGCAACCATTGAAGGCATCGTTGGAGTTCCTGCCCATGCGACTATCGATGTTCCAGGGACGCGCTGAGACAATTTTCCCGAGTGCGTGTGAAGAGATTGAGGACCGGCGAAATCGCTTGGAGAAGAGCTATAAAGTTCTTGAGACCGATGCTGAAGCTCTCCTGAAGGAGTTGGCTGAAGACAAGTGGATTCTGGTTTTCCGCAATGCTGGGGCCCAGGCACAAAAGATGTTTCAATCGGTTGAACGCAGTATTGGCAAGCTACAAGAAGGGCTGGAAACCGGCATGCAGGTGCACAACCCGTCAACGTTGAGCAAGCTCATTGAAAACTATGAGGCGAAGAAAATGCATTATGTTCCTGCTATTGAGCGTGTGGTTTCCATCATTCAAAAGGGCGTCAACGACCGATTGACTGTCAATGGTGAGATCCTGCGCCTACTATCCGACATGACATCCCGAACGGATGCTCTCAAGGCTAGCGCTAAGGTAATGGATACATCTCTCGAAGATGTACACATTACCAGGGGCCACCAGCTACGAGACTCGATCTCCAGCATCTTCACTATGGACAGTCCAGCCGCAGGCAGTGCCATTGACACCCCAGGAAGCTCGCCGGCGTCGTCAGTCGTCATGACCAGCAACGGGTACAAGTGCGCCTCAACGCCCATGGGTGGCTCAAGCCGTCGCGGAAGTTCGGTCGGAAGTACCACAGCCCGTTCGACTATGCCCCCAAACCGTCGTTACTCCAGCTTGCCGCAAGCCACGACTTACACCGGTCGACAGTCCGGAATCCCCCAACCGACGGGCCTTACGTCTCCAACTTCATCCTATAGATCCTCAAGTTACTTCACACCGACCCCGGCTGCTCGTTCTCGTACACCAGCGCCGCCATCTACAATTCCCAATCGCCCACGCTGGAACGCCAGTACAAAGGTGGACGACAGCAATACTGGTTACAATTCGACATTGCGGAAGTCATCCGCCCCGCTCGCCCGCACACCTCGGCCATCATCATCAATTCCATTCTCCAGCTCTTTCCGAGAGACTTCCGCATCTCCCATTTCCGGCAATCTTCGATCAGTCAGTCGCGTCTCGAGCCGCTTTGGTTCTCGGAGTCCAAGGAGCGGGTGCTCTCCCACACCGGAGCAGTCCTCGAGTTTCGATCTACAGCCGTACGCTCGGCTCTATCGACAATCAGGGATGTCAAACACACCTCGCAGTCGCCAGAGCTTCGCGGGCCCTCCCACAGCTTTCAGTCGAAGTGTGTCGGGAGCTCCAGGTGGGATGGAGAGCCCAAGCAAATCCTCACGACCAGGTACATCGCTGGGCCATTCTAGGAACAGGCGAACCAGTCTACTCCCGCTTCCCAAGCGAACGGCGGAGAAAGAGCAGGCCCCCAAACTGGTGGATACACGTCCACGGTGGCGCTAGTGGCAACTTGGTTGCCTCCCTCATCGCTTCTGTTCTTCTTTCTCTGCCCTCCGACTTCTATCTACACTTCTACGACCTTGTTCTATCTACGTTCTATCTATGTTTTTTTTACTTGTGCATTACACCCCTTCTCGGTTCGATCTCTATTCCCAAATCGGTGTTCAGTCAGTGTGAAGCGGAGCTATCATCTTGACAAGTCAGGTTTTGCGTGATATCCCTATTGTTTGCATGGTATGGTCTGAGCGTTGAGGTCATCTATTTCGCGGTTCTATCTTTTGAGTCTCATTGATTACCACTTAGCTTCTCTTCCCTGTGAATATTATTCCTTGTAGTTTTATCTAGTTTTGCTTTTCGCTCGGGAAATCACATTACTTGCTTTCTAGGCAAGTTTATTGTCATGTATAATTCATCGCAGTATTTTCATCATTCGTAACAACACGATCCTATATACTTGAAACGGCGATTCTTTATGCAAACATTAACGGACGCTTCAAACTAAAATTGAAACCTGCCATTTGAATTTCCCAGCTCACGCCCGAAAATCAATGCATCCACCAATTCTTCGCTGTTCGCCAACCGCGCAGCCTTGGGAACCCGTCCGATAACGCTGAACCCTAGCTTCTCCCAGATACGAATAGAGCCGGGGTTATTTGCGAAGACCAGGTTGAAGACTGAGTATGTGTACCCCTACCAAAAGAGTTAGTCATGCATGTCATGCGTGTGATCAAATGCAAAGCCGGGGGGGCACGTCGTACCAGTCTTGGAGCAAATTCCAGGTATGCTTCGCCCATAGCCTGTCCGACGCCTCTTCGGCGAGCAGCAGTAGCGGTGAGAAAGCCTCCATTGCAGATGTGGGAGCAGCGACCTATTAGAGTTAGTGCTTTTATTACTATGAGGTTGGTTCGAATCCGAACATGACACATACCAGGATAGTTGGGTTTGATATAGAAAGTTCCCATACAAACACTCTCCCAGTCCCTCCCCTCCCTTAATCCCTCCCCTTCATCGTCCAAGATCGCCAAGGCCACAAACGTTCCGAACCAATAGTTGGCGAACTCATCCAGCGCCATCGGTTGCTCCATCGGGTACGTCCCGCCGCGGAGGATTTCCGCAGTGAACTCCTCGTGCAGGAATTTGATCAGGTCCTTTGGAACGGTTTGCGGTCCCCCTGTGATGGGGTAGACCGTCATCGGCGCGGAGGACTTGGGGAGGGTAGTTTTCCACGCTGTTAGGGTCGGCGCTGCATCTAGGTGTGCTTTTGGTGGGGGGTTGCGGGTCGAGGGGTCTTCCAGAATGGAGGGCATTTTGGGTGAATGGGGGGCTTTTTGGGATCTGTGTGTTGGGACGGGCTTGGAGATAAGGGCGAGGTGTGACAGAGGATCAATTGGGCAATTTTCAAGTGGTTAAGGGGGTTTTCCGATTGATATACCCTCTTCTCCATCTCGATATCGGCATCGGCAGCCGACTTTGCATGAGTCAGCTTGTCATTAACAGGGCGCGTTCTCCACTGATGTTGGAGTATCTAGATTGATTTTCATTGACAGTTTCCCTGCTAAGTGATAAGAGATGATAGGTGAATTTAAAGCTAAAATTAATTTTTGTGCATAGTGGTCGCCTTGTCAATATCCCGTGTGCTCGGGGTTGTTCCGCATCTATATAACCTTGGAGGATTCCTCGACATAGTCATATAGAAACAATAGCACATAATGTATATATGACCGGGTGCAGACCTGAATTGTCAAAACTTCAAATCAAGTCAAACCTCGTATCTTCTATTCCTACACGTAGTATATACATATGGGCTGATGGTGGGATGGAAGATGCCTGCATCTCCCAGCATAACCATATCATGCACGCCTGGCTGCTCCGAGATCAAGCACTCTGCACTCGATCTGTTTAGATCTATGAAGCAGCTCAGAGCCAATTTTTGAAGTTCAGCCACCAACTCTCGGGGTGGTAGTGTCAGCCTCGGGTGCTATGTGATCAATAGAGAACTCATTGACCCTCTCCCTCTCCCTCTCCCTCGTTCCTCAGAGCCTGCATAAGCTCGAGTAACTGTCCAAGTTGCTGATCTACAATGAGAACCAACGTTTAGCATGACCGACCGAGACAGAGTTCAACAACAGTCAAGAACATACCACTCATCTTATCCAACTTAGCCTTGTCCAGCTTATCTCCTGCCCATGAATCACCTTCCAACTTTTGCGCATATAGCTGCCACTCGGTCAAGAACCCGATCTATCATTGCCAATGTCAGTGACTGCCTCAACAAGCCCTTCCTCTTCCGCTATGCCTCCCCTTCCCTTCAATTCGGTATAACCACGCCAAACTCGGGCAAGAATAAACATACAATGTGCAATGGGTTCTCCACACTCCGATGCGCACGGAACTCATTCTTCACATAAGAATCGCCCAAGACGCGCATCTCGGGATCGAGTTTGCGATGGACGCGGAGAATGCGCCGGTAAAGCTGTAGCGGCGGGAGGAGGGCAAGGGCCTCGCTGAGGCTGGACTTCGAGCCGATCGAGGCCGGCATGGCCATGAATAAACGCTGAGCAATGCGCATCTTGAATATTTGGTAGGTGATTTAGGAGATTGGAGGGTTTAGATCGAGGATTGAAGGAATGACATAATTTCCGGGGATTTTGGAGGCAAAGGCGGCGAGGCGAATCAACGAATCAACGCGTCGGGATGTCTCGGGATTTAGTCTTGGATTTCCTTCTCTGCCATTTGCTGATACTTTTTATTGTATTGCTTCACATTGGATCTTCCACTTAAGTGGATTCTTTGCCTGAAATTTGTGATTGCCTCAGGCCAAGATCGCGAGTTCTGCATATAATTTCGAGATAGCCCCACTATCTCCAAAGAGGAGTCGATAAACCTGGACTGGGCTTTATTAAACATACGCACCATGCTTCCCACACCAGATACTTCACATGTGTCCTTTGACACCATCTACGAGCCATCCGAGGACTCATACCTCTTCCTAGACACATTGTCATCCGCATCCGAATCAAAATGGCTCTCTGAAAGATTCCCAAAGAAAGAGGCATCACCACTAGTTGTCGAAGTAGGCACAGGCTCTGGCGTTGTGCTGGCATTCGCGGCCGCGCAGTCTCAAGAGATCTTCGGCCGGCGCGATATTCTCACACTAGGCACTGATGTGAATCGCAATGCTTGCATCGCAACGCAGAAGACCGCAACGACAGCTATTCAGGCAGAGCAACAGCCGTCTCAATCAGTTTACATCGCTTCATTGGCTGCCGATCTTTGTGCACCTCTTCGCGCTGGCAGCGTTGATGTCCTCCTCTTCAATCCACCCTATGTTCCGACTGAGGATCTACCGCGTCTGCCTTCTGCGGCAGAGAATGACCCTGCTGTTTCAGAGGCCATGTCTCGCTCTGCCAAGTTCGATAATGACTCGTATTTTTTGTCGTTAACGTATGCGGGCGGAGCGGATGGTATGGAAACTACGGACAGACTGCTTGATGCTATCCCTGGTGTGCTGTCTGTGCGAGGTGTGGCTTATGTCTTACTCTGTAAGCAGAATCGGCCTGATGAGGTTATGGAACGCGTCCGTTGCTGGGGCAGTTGGCACGCTGAGACGGCGGGGTCGAGTGGGATGCAGGCTGGGTGGGAGAAATTGGTCATTGTGAGGATATGGAGAGGAGATAGCTCATGATTAATGGATAATTGAATAACGATGATACCATTTGTGGATTCATGAGCAGTAAGAATAAGGAGATACATACACACACCCAGCAGTTGACTGCTTGGTGGTTTGCAATTGTGCAAATAATCATTCCCATTCCCATTCGACGTAGCGTTCACAGCCAGTGGCGCCGGATCCCTCAAGAATCTCAAACACCGTCGTGGCGGCGTGTTTTCCAGGTCGCATTGGCCAGTGGGCCACGATTGTGGTGCTGCCCCTCATCTTCAATCCAAATGTTGGGGTGAGTTTGTCAAATTCAAAGGTTTTTTTGTAAAGATCGAACATTTTACTGACGTTGCAGAAGAAAGAGCTTGATCTGTTAATTCTCACCTGGTCTGCATCATTGCTAGCCGCTGACTCAGGTTGAGGGAGGTGTTTCACAGCACGAGCGACGTCCTTGTCGAGGGAGTCCTTGGTCCACATATCCTCAATGTCGCGGATAAAGAGGGTAAGAAGCATGGCCTTTGGATTTTGAATCTTCGGCTTCAGCATTGGGGTAAATACCCTGAGGACGGTGTGGATCCCAAGCACGCCGGTTTCTGCAGCCACATACGTCTATATCAAATTAGCATTGTCTCAAGAATATAATAGAATTCAAAACGGAGGTGGAGGTGGGGGTGGTAGGGGAGGAGTTACATCAATTCTGTCAAATCTTGGATGTTCGCCTAGCTGGTTGAAATATGTCGGTAGACTTAGTGAATCGATAGAAAGAAGTCGAAGGTTTACATCTCGTTTCGAAATTTGGCGACAGAAACCCAAGAGAGTCTTACGGAGGTAGATGAATAGCATACCGTACAGATCATTCTTCGCAGGATAATTCGCAGTGTACGCTCCAGTGCATACATCCAGGAGGTCCCAGCTGGTGCGCGGATCTGCAGAGTCTGGCATAGGTCAATTACGACTGGTATGGAAAAACATCCTAATTGTATTAGTGACATGACAGGTACAATGAAAGGTCGGGCAGACTAACGGGTTAGGAGTGTCAAATGCCTTGCGTGAGCACCCGAAAGGCAGCATGATTCCATCATCGCGGAACTTCATAGTGGAGACACGCCAGTATCTAGGCTGTGCGTATAGAGTCCTTTGGAATTCATCCTTTCTATTGTCAGCAAACATGACGTCTCGTCGATTGCAGGCGGCTTCGGTAGCAGAAAAGTCAGCAGGAACCTGAAGGTATCCTTTAAGACCTTCCCACTCATCTCTCGCAAGTTCCACATGCAAGGATGCTTTGTTCTTCCTCCAGACGCACTTGAAAAACGGTTGAGACCGTTTTTGTGCAGCTTCAGAGCAGACTTTCTCAATCTTTGGCAGGAGCTTTTTTCGGACTGCGGTGATAATAGACGCGGGTATCAAAGCTGAATACCATAAGTGAATCATGATAATGGCAGCGTGCTCTGGTGGAAAATGGAAAGCTGTCAGAACAAGAAGAACATTCTGCGAGAAAATCCCAGCGTGGATGCCATTCATCACGATCTCACATTGCCCCGAATAGGTATCTGGCAGACGAGCGATTGTCTCGACTACGTTCCGAATATCGTGTGATGCTATCAGGAATTGTGTTAGTCAAAAGAGCAGTTGTTGGAATTCAGACAGTCTCTTACCTGTGAGAAGAACACTCATCTTGGGGGGTGCATCCTGGCCTTCATTTCTATCCAGTTTCAACAAGTCCAATGCTGGCATGCCTCCCCACCACGATATTTTGCCGTCATTCAAATTCCGTTCAGATGGGTCTCGATTCTTCAAAAACTCTGGCTTTCGATCTCCTCTGTGCCAGTCTGGCTTCCATGTCTCATACCCCAGAGCGTCCTTACAATTCTCTTTGTGTATGGGCCAATGTTCTTTCTGGCATTCTTTGCCGCAATACTGTTTTGATTTTGATTAGAATATGGTGCAGAGCTTTGAAAAGATCAAAGTGTTGGAGACTTACCACAACCAAGTAGCAGCGGCCGCAAGCACTATTAGCCTGGGAGGTCTTGTTGGGACATGGCGAGCTTGTGTTATTCGCACAGAATGCGGGATTGAGGAACTTATCGAAGCTTGACATGATGAGAGAATGGATTTCCGCAAGGTTGATGAAAATGGAAGCCCACAACAGGTTGAAGGGACGAAGCGAAAAAAAAAGAGGAGGAAGAGAGAAAGGGAAGGAAAAAGGAGGAATGAAAGAAAAAACGAACGACAGATGTCCCAATAAGGAAGGTCCCATACACCGTGGATGACCGCCCTACTGGGTAAATTGGTAGGAAGGTCACCGCCAAAGATATAATGACAGCAAACATCGCCCTTGTATTATTCGATTGTCTCAAATCTCACAAGATCCCTGACTTGGTTCTGCGTGCAACCGTCGGGGATCACCTCTTGAATGGTATTTCTACCGCCGAACGAGCAGAGACAATTAGATGAAACGAATCACTTAGAAAAATACCTTGATCAGCTTGTTACAGGCCTCCAGGGCTACTTATCTTACAATGACGGAGGATTGTAATTCGAGTTTTAAAGACAATCCAGCTTAACTCATTCCCTCTGGATGATGTATTGGTGAGTTGTCTGCCTTGATATGCTCAGTATAATGACTATTATACCGACTAATACAACATCGTTCCAATAGACTCTATCTTCCAGCAATTTTTCGGCATGTTTATGGTACCTCTAGTGAGTCGGTTTTGACTGCATACGTTGACGCCCTGTCAACTACGCATAGACTGGATGGCGAAAGCTAGTTAGATATTACTTTGACTATGCTACCTATCTAGATGTTTTCGGGTGTTGGCTTGCTCTCAATAAACGCGTTTCGTCCACAAGGCTCTCGTTCTAGCTGGCTACATTGTTTTCTGAAGACAGGTTTCAACGACTTCCCAGCAGGAATAATAAATATGACCCTCTGGCTTTTCCTTATGACCATTTCATTGCTTATACCTTACTTAATTCATTCCCCATACCTCTACACCGGGTCATATATTTTCCCCCTTGTAAGTATCGGATGGACCGCATATCATCTTGGACACGGGTAGACACAGTAGTCTAGTTGCTTTTACAACCTGTCATTTCATCAACCCCGATTTGCCTATCCTATTCCTCTTCCAACTTCTTCCTCGTCCGAAGCTTTGGTGTTTGACTGCTCCTCCCACAATGATAACCACGACGCGGTCGCATCTTCCACTGACGACGACCTTTACTCTGGCTATTGAATGTCTCACGGATTTCTGGTTATTAAACGCCTCACCCATAGGTACAAGATCATTGTGGGCAAACTTAGGTCCTGCAGATGCCAAATGTCTCCCATCAAACTGGTCCCCATCGTCATACTATTCACCTAGGATCGCTTGTCCTAGCGGCTGGGCAATGGCCGTAAATTATACCAGCGCCACCGAAACTATAGGAACATGCTGCCCTGTTTATCAGTAAGCAATTGGCATTACTAGAGATGAGGACGGTGGGAAAATGAAATACACACATACTAATATAACGCTACTATAGACCAAGTAGCTGGACATTCACTACACGCGCCTGTTGTATGGACCAATTCGCCACTTTCGAGGTTCGCGAATTCGGTGCCACGGTCGATATGAACGAGACGTTTAAACATATAAACGTAACCGGTACTACACTACTCACCATTCCTATCACATCGGGAGTCGATAGTTGGTACGGATATGGTGTTGAGCTCCGTTGGAGGTCTACTGACCTTACTTCGGCCCCAATTACGTCCTTTGTTTCAACCACGACTTCAGCAGTTATAACAACCACAACGATGATGGCAGTGACTCAAGAGTCAGAAGAGAAACCTCCGGAGCTTTCAACAGGTGCTAAACAGGCACGGGCGTTGGTGTTGCATTAGGTGTTATCTTGGCTATTCTGGGGATTGGTTTTTTGGATCCGTGGATGAAAACGCCCATGGAAAGATGGCGAAGAGGAACGATCCGAACTTGCTGAAACCAAGAAGCTTACTCCGCCGTATGCGATCCATGAATTAGACTCCAATCCGGTCTTTGAGAAAGACGGCGTTCAAGTGGTACATCCACGATTGAAAGAATTAGCTGAGCTGGAAGGGCAAAGTGCAAGATTAGCGGATGATACATTGCATGATTCTATTGTACCATTTTAACGTTTAGACATTTGGACATTTGGAGTGTCGTTTTAGAATGTATGTACTTAATGATGACCGGGCCGAGAATCAAGAATCCAAGTACATAACCATTAATGAAAGAAATGGTACGTTGGCTAGAGTACTAGATCTGGTCTGCCGTTGTGCATGCTATTGCATATATCGGCTTTCATAGGAAGGCTTATGCAGATAACTTTATTATACTATTTTTCTCAACATAATATATCCGTTGATGTCAAATAAGGAGACATGAGGTGTCGTGGTATATACTTTGTTAGCTTATATATAACTCCACTGTGTCGGTTCTACAAGACAAAGACCGATGCTTTAGATACAATCATCTGATCTTCGCTTATTCTGAACAGATTCTCCAAATCTCCAGCAACATACTCTGTAGATACGAAGAACAAATCATAGATGTGGGCCGTCGACCCTTTTTTCTGATCCGGTCCTACTCGTTTAGGTTGTACTTAGGGCTATGGCTATCGTCCCATTAGTTGCAATTTAGCTTATGCAACATCGACAATGTAATTGGTTGCCTGTCCAATTGAGCCCCCACTGCCTTGCTTCGAGAATAAACCTTGGAACGACTCGCGAACTCTGACAATCAATGAGTGATTTAGTCTCCACAGCCTCAACGAGTCTCCACGTGCCCACGTGGGCGGCTGTCACATCGCTCGATCGTCTGATCCCATAGCCCATAGCACCATGCCTGCTCAGGCCTCAACATTGCACCATCACTTATTGTGAAACGCGAATTTCCGCTTCACGTATGGGAGTTTTCTAACAGCGCGTGGTCAGATCGATGACAGATCGAGAGTAGATCGACGATCTGAATGCCCCTTTTCCGGCCCCCACATTTGTAAAACAAACCGGGACCGAGCCGGACGTCGAACAGCACTCCGTAAGGACGCCCACTATGATACCCACTCTAACGTACTCCGTACAGGGGTGATTTGGCTACTCATTGAGATCGGCGCTGTCGTGCTAAGGGGGTCAGAACGGTGTTACATGTATACTAGCGAAGATCAAAGATGTGTCTTGGAAACATTTCCCGAATTTGTATGGAATAACTGGGAAATGAAGGCTTGGGCATAGATGATCTTTGGGATATCACGTCGTCTGACGCGCTTGGAAATGATCTCCTCCAATCACAAAATAGGAAAGTAATATCCGAATTCCAAGCAATGCTACGTAGTCGTATATACGTACGGAGTATACAAAGAAAAGACGAAAGAACACACTGGAACATACGTTAGCAGCACTTTATAGTTCGTCGATCCAGTTTTCACCAGATTCCAAATCCCGAACCTTTTCACGTCGGCTTTCGGAAATCAAAACCGAAATGGCTTTGATTGATCATTGAGCGATGTACACGGGATGGTCCGCACACGGGAACCCAACCCCTGAAATAGAAGGTCCTTATCAGCCACATACCGCGTATAAGACGCTTGGCGGAGCTGGTGAGAAGTCGACCGTGGCAATCAATCCTGTTGGATCAACAGAGTCTGGCCCCTCTAGCTTGAAAGGGACTACGGTGATATCCTTATTGACCTTATTGATCCAAAAGGCTCGGGAGCTTGTTCCGGTATCCTTTGAAATACCGCATTCTATATCTTGGCAACGGTCTCAGAGCCACCCGGTTGTTCCAAACCTTGGAGAGCTCAGGAGGCACGGGAAGATATTGCCAGCCTTAATCGGATTAAATTTGCAGCATTGGCTGAAGGCTATTGAGCGGACACTCATGTCTCATGTTATTTTTTGAAAAAAACCGCGCACTCGCAGCTTATTCCCCTGGTCTGGTTCCACTGAGATATTTTCACGCCTTAAACCTTCGTTCTTTATAGGGTATAACTCCCGTAACTTCAGCAAGCCTCTTCAGCAAGCCTCGTATCAAAACGTCAAAGTAGAGGTAGTATTACACCGAGAGGCCACAATTAGGTAGTAACTAGGTAATTGGGACAGAATGTGCTATTGAAGACGCCGTCTTGCTGATTTTGGCTCTAGCGGGTTTTCCGAGACCACTAAATGTGGGTGCTCAACGCGAGAACTTTAAAAAGAAAAAGAATAAAATAGTCCACGGTGCTTTAAATAACCTTCTCGGCATTGCCAATCTCGGATGCGTTATATATCGTTATGGGACCGTCGTGTCCGAGTCTTTGAGTTTAACGGAAAGGGAACACGCTAGAAGACACTAAGAATTACACCTAGAGAAAAACCTAGACCTATTCGAGAGTCGGACATGCCTACGATATTAGGTTCACATACTCGCATGACGTTTTAGATATCTGTTTCGATATTGCTGTGGCCTGATGTTGGCCAAAGCCTCCCTTAGCGCCTTCACACCACATGGCCCGGAACCGTGCATAGAGATAAGAGACGAAGGGAAGGTGGATCTAGTCACAGATCGTATGTATCCTTCTCTCGGGTGATTCCACAGTACTTTTGATAGCTAATGTTCACCTGAGCACATGGTATTGAGGTACACGGTATTGAGAAGCGCAAATTCAGAGTGGGGAACATTCCCCGGTAAAATTGCTTAATTTTTTCAGTATGTCACCCACCATCCATATCGGGACCCCTGGCCTGGGTAGTAGAAAAAAGGAACAACACATTGTAGCCCATATGATGCAAAATCAAACCGGTTGCGAAGACAGAAACAAACGCCGGATGGTTCTCATAGAAAACAGAAAATCTAGAATCCACGTCCGCGACCACGACCGCGGGGGGGACCTCCGCGTCCTCCACGGCCTCGTGGTCCACCACGGCCACCACCGCGACCACGGTCTGTCTCCTTGCGCGCCTTGTTCTTCGGCTTGGGCGCGTCGTCAACGAGGAGGGTATCGAGGGGAAGACTGTCGGGGAGGATGTAATAGCGGATTGTGGAACCGCGGATGTTGATGGTGTCGAGAGAAACGGGGTCGCGGCCCTTGGGGGTCATCTTGACAGCCCGGAGAGTGGTGTTCATCTGAGGAGAGACAGACACAATGGTGCCGTGAAGGATTGTGCCTAGATACGGGAGTTAAGTTAGACAACACAGTTCGTTCGCGTATTTCGCATATTGGCATATTCGTGGGGACTTTAGGTTGGGGATTGCGGGGATTGCGCCGGGGTTTCTCACCATTCTTTAGCTCAACGGTCACCGTCTCATTGGCACATTTCATCAAAAAGCTAGAAGGATCATTAAATGTCAGCAGGAGTGGGTTTGAGGGTTGCTTGGTGCGTCGAGCTGCTTGCCGCGCACAATAAAGGTAATCACATACCGGACGAGCTTCATGGTGAATCAGGAAGCTGCAAGCTAACTATGGTCTCAGTTTGATGTGTTGTGAGACACTAGCAGATAGCTAGAGATCGTGGGGATAAAAACGCGTTGGTTACGATGATGCTGTTGGACCAAGAGCCCAGAGAAGATCTGAGGTGAGGTCATCACGTGATTTGGATTTCCCATCTCGAGGTCCACGGGTTGCGAATTTCATTATCGCTACGATAAGCAACTGGGATGGACATCCATCTATGTATGTTTATTGAAATAATGAAATAAAGATACCGCATTATATCCACAGCCTTTATCCTCACCATACTGGTTCCGATCGTCTGAGACATGCTCAGCCAAGACCAATCTTCCACCGAGGAATTCGATTTCTAGGCTATTCAAGCAGAATTGGTTCTTTGATCCTTCCCAGGAGGCAATGTGACCTTCCAGAAGCTCCAACTTGTCTCCTACCTGGAAAGGTCCCATGAGCTCTAACGGCTTTCGTGCATTTGAAGTTGATATGCAGGTGAGCGGTGTGTCAAGGTGGGATCAATGGGATTGCGGTCCGTATTTTTCCTGATATGCCTTGGTTTTTGACCTGCATCCTGCAGAGTGATATGTACAGCGAAGCATATTGGTTTTAGACAAATCCTGAACCCACAAAATGAATGGCTACGAGCGATTGATTTCAAATCTGTTCTCTCTTGGCCTTTGACAGACTTGCGATTTATGCCAGTTGAATGGGGGAGGAATAGCCGATTGTTCCATTTGATAGCACCAGCCCAATGCGGCATTTATAACCTACATACTACAGGAATCTGAGCAAGGCGTACTCCGTACTGAATATTACAACCTGGTCAAAGTAGGTGAGCCCATCCAATGTAAAACACAAAGGATGCATCAAAAGAAACCAAATCAATGAGAACCAGGGTTCCAAGGTTGCATTGAAGGGCTGGATAAGCTGTTCCTGGCCAAGTCAATTAATAGTGTTGATCCCAAGCCTAAGAACCCAAAGATCGCCATACATTGTAGATCCCGACGCTTTTTAAAAAACGGTCAGAACATCCTTAATTCCTAGTATGTTGTACTTCATACTCTGTAATCGGGCACTAAATGATCAACCGTGCATTAGTAGAAATCGCACATGTCCTGAAGCCAACGGATACAAGTGCGGATCCCCTGTGGAGTGAGCCGATCATGACCGTGCCTGATCCTAGGGGCGATTGGATTTTTGACAAGCATGCCAGTTTGAAGTAAGAATAGCTTTGGAAGGACTCAATCAGAGTCCATCCTCGAAGACCATATCATGACCCTCAAATTACCAGTAGCCTCCGTGTTTTCTGTGACAAGCTCCACCATTACTTACGGCTTTTCCATTTTGATACACGGCTGCCTATAATAGCCAGGACCCCCAACGTTCCGGATATGTGTCGATCTAACACCTATAATACCAGTGCAGCGGACCTTGGAAGTATTCCGGAGCTAACAAGGAACCGAGAGCGGGCCCTGTACATATGATCTTTACTGGAATGGGACTATCTGGGGCTGAAATCGGATTTGTTTAGGGTATTTAACGACTTGCTAGATGGGGACGGTACCTTTTAGGGTGTCCCCTTTGGAAGAGAATACTCCGTACTGCATTAGTCTCCGTCCACCCTGTGATACGCCCAGATAGGCCTCATTAATAAACAATGTAAAGTCTTTTCTTTTATTTTTCCCAACGGTGCGTTTGTGGGGGCCAAGACTGATAGGGGGACAAGCCTCGGGCCGGGGTGGAACTGGCGACTTCAGGTTATTCGCGTTTTCGCTTTTTGCGTTTCGCTTTTCGTATTTGGCATAATTCCTTTTCTTTTCGAAATGGCCATGGCAAGGTGGGATCTCGGAGTATCCAGGCACGCGCTAGACTATCGAGAACGTCATGGCCCCCAATCCGCCCCCATTCGCTACAATGGGGGCTAGAATCCAATGCCTAGGCCAGGATAGTCATCTCCCCTGTCTAGGATCATGACTGTCCAGACGATGGCCCCAGTTGCAATCTGTCCCGAGTCCTTTTCCCGCATATCCTCTGTTTTACCCGTGATTTGTGGGGGTTAAAAGTCCGACTCTGCTCGTGATAGTTCCCATCGGCCCACCTCATTTGAAGATCCTGGGATTTCTTTTTTTCCTTATTTCTTTTTTTTTTTCTCATTATTTTATTTCTCATTGAGCTTCCGACGGATCAGACAGCCAATGACCGGCCCTGATATATGCAATTGAGACGGTGAACAAGCGGGTAGTGGGACGTCAGGGTATGTTTTAGTAGACCCGGCCCTGATCGAGGCGCATCAGTGGCGCGCAAGAAATCTAGAAGTCGGTGTTTAGTTTCTAAACGTGTGGGCCAGCAACGCTACCCAACCGGGACCTTTCAGATCATAACACGATTGCGGGGGTCACTAGTAAACGCCCGTTGCTGGATATGCGCTTTTAAATACTTCATCGCGCCCGTTCCGTGCCCCCAATTGAAGTCCTCACAGAAAAAACCGCTTTTGATTTACCACCAGGGAATAATCGGATCGGAACTTCAAACCTGTACGTCGACTTCCTCTTACGAGTCCCACCTTTCCCCTTATACTCAACCTTGGCCCCTCCCACCCCCTACCGCAGTACTTGCAATCTCACTGGTCTGCGACCTATATAGTTCCTAATGTTTCCCGAAGGATCTGGCTCACAGCATCCATTCTCTTCCCGCAGGAATCAATCAAATCTACCATTCACAGCTTCGCAATCGAACGTTGGACTTTTGTCTCCACTAGTCCAGTCAGTGGAATCTCCCGACTTTTCACACAGCGTTCCCGGACCAGAGTCTCACTGGCCCATTCAGCATATTCAGAACTCGATCTATGCACCGGGTGGCTCGCAGTCAACACAAGGATTTGCACTGTCACTGCCCGCGCATCATTCAACAACGCTGAATACCAGCACGAGTCCGCTTCACACTCTAGATTCGAACTATCCACCTACAGAGTCCACAGCGCAGGGCTATATCGAGGATAAATCTCCGACTAAAGAAGAAATTGGCACAGAAGATTCACAGTATGTCGAGCTAATCCATGAGAAAAACGGCCCCCAGGGCCAGATTCAGTGCTGACTAGGGCATCCCTCAACAGCCTTGGCATTCCATCATACCCCATGTCAGTAGTACCAGACTCTTATTTTGCTGGCCCAGTGCAGCAAAATACTCGCCGTACGAAGTTCACCCAGACGTTGTTTAAAAGATGATCTACTGACACTTCTAGAATATGCGTGGACAAACCGACCTTATCAACCTTCGCAACCAGAACAGACGAGCCCGCCATTTCTATCTTCACATCCGTCATACCCTGCATCGGGCTATCCGATGGGCTATCCCAATCACCCAAATGGGCCTCTGCATGGGTACCAACAGCAAGAACACCAATTACCGGCGTCTTATCTCGCACCTTCCCGTCACAGTGAACCTCGAAGGTAAGCCGATTGATTACCTGGCCTCTGAAAAGACTGACATTTCCAGTTTTAGTTCACCTCTCCCCCATCCCTTCCACCCTCAATCTGCTTCCGTCACTCCTCAGTCCGAACAGCCTCTCATGACATCGTATGTCGGATGAACCGCTCGAAGTATAAAAGATCCAATGATCTGGCAGCTAACGCAGGGGTAGTCCTTCCGCTTATATGATAAACCAACATGCCTACTACTTCCCCGCCACACCGGACATGCCGTGAGTTGAGACGATGAACCCGAATCATAGAGTATGCTGACCGGAAACCACACTAGATCGCACCCTACCTCCATCAGCTCTCAGCCACAATCGATGGTCCCCGAACCAATGTACTCTTCACCAGAATCAGCCGCCGCTACTGATTCTGACCGTCCAGCAGGAGTATCCAGCTTGCGCCCCCGACCACAATGCTGGGACCATGGCTGCAATGGCCGTGAGTTCTCAACATTCAGCAATCTTCTCCGCCACCAGCGAGAAAAGTCAGGAGTGGTGGCTAAGGCTGAATGCCCAATATGCGGTGCGGTATTTACACGTACGACAGCACGCAATATCCATGTTGGGCAGGGCAAGTGTAAAAGCTCAGGCAGAGATTCATCTGCTGAGTAGAGCATATGCACACTTTTGATTTCGGCGTTAAAGCGAAGGCGCTTGGCTATAGCGGGACTGGATTTGCTTATTATGCATGTATATTTGGGGAGGCCAAAAAATTCTCTGAGAGAAAAGGCTTGATGTCTTGATAGAACTTCTCATACAATTTCTTGGCGCTGGGTAAATACGGGACAAACATGGGCCACGTGATGCTTCGGCCCGTGCCATTTGTGAGTCAGTTACAGCACTTTTGCATCACAGATCATTCAATTCTGCTGCAAGAATGCCTTATGTTTCTCGAGTCTTTTTAGAATTGCTTTATCTATCTCCATATCTTTGCTTATTACCAATATCTTTGTTACCAGTCTGAATCGTAACCGTGTCTATGGCATCCATATTCACCTATGATCCTGACCCACCTCGGGTGTCGTCCCCGTGGTCAACTTCGGGATCATCGACTCCCCAAATCAATGTATCTGCCAGTCGGGGTTTAGCTGTCCGCACGCGTTCTAGCACCAGTCCACTAGGCGTCGACCCTGACTTGTTATCCAACTATGGAATATCCAAATTGGAACCCGAACCTCAAGAGGGTCCCACTGAGTACAAATTGCACCTTCTGCTTCGAGCCAGGCGCCCGTATCTCTCAATGTCGACTGGTCATGTAATAGCGGGTTCGTACCATCACAATTACCGCGTCATGCCAAGTACGTCTACTCCATCCTCTCCGAGCTTGGAACCAACCCCAAGACACACGCAAGCCAAGTCTAGCCAGAGCCGCCATCAACGACTACAAGGGTTGACTACCCAGCTATTATGGCGTTTGCAACAATCGTCACCTTTTCACTCATCCACTACCTCTAACCTTGTGGTGCCTGTTCTTCCCGAGGCAGCCCTGGAATTGGGTGTGCCCTCTAAACCGGCCCGCTTGCTTCCCGGTCTTGAAGAAAGCCAAGGTGCTTTGTATGAGATCGGTGTCGGCGATGATGGTACTTTCGTAGGCCTCACGCAGGATGAGTTGGACGAGAGTGTGACCAATCTACGGGCTATGGCTGCTAGTATTGGGTGTAAAGTTGAGATCCTTCGCCGAGTTGTGGTTGGGGAGTGTGAATGGGTTGAAGACTTGCCATCTGAAACTGGGAACCAAACCAAGAACAACACTGAAAGTCTTTGGGTCGCCGAGGCTCTGGTGAGTCCCGACCTGGACTTCTACAATATCTCTCCAACCAAGTCCAAGAACGATACGAAATCTGCCGCACACCCAGAATCTGGCAGAAAGTCAGTCATGAATGAGGATTACTCCCATACAGAGCAGATTCGAATTTCTCTCGCAGGTCCAAGCACCGCAGGAAAGACTTCCTTACTGGGTACGTTGACTTCGTCTGCGCTTGACAACGGAAGAGGCAAAAGCAGATTAAGCCTGCTCAAGCATCGACATGAAATATCATCGGGCATCACCAGTTCGGTCGCCCAAGAACTGATTGGGTACACGGGTGAGATGCCACCAACCGTGATTAACTATGCTTCCGGTAATGTTGCGGGTTGGGATGATATTCATGCCGCCTCGAAGGGAGGTCGTTTGGCTTTTGTGTCCGATCTACCGGGCTCTATTCGATATTTGAAATCTACCCTGCGAGGGCTTATCAGCTGGGCTCCACATTATGTGATGTTATGCATTCCAGCCAACTGTGGCAATGAGACATCTGGCAGCGAACAGACAGGAACTGAACAATCGGAAATTGATACGTGTCTGTCATATCTAGAGCTTTGCCTAAAGTTGGAGGTTCCTGTGTTGATTGTCATCACCAAATTGGACGTTGCTTCCCGCAGTGGACTACGGGATAGCCTTGGAAGAGTTCTTTCTGCGCTTAAAACAGCTGGGCGCCAACCTGCAATGCTACCTGCATCGCCTGCAGGTGACAAACCACTTGACCTTCAGCAAGTCAGCACGTTGGACAGCGCCCAAGTACAGAAAGTATGCGCGGCGGCTGATGGAAAATGGGCATATACCGTACCTATCATGCTTACCAGTGCTGTGGATGGCACTGGCATTGGAAAACTTCATGCCTTCCTCCGCTCTCTTCCCATTCCCCCACGACCCTCCCAAAGAACTCTCCACATCCCTAAAGGGCTGCCAATACCCTCCCACAGCCCCACTAATATCTTCGATGTGGATGAAGTGTTTGCAATCCCTCCCTCCAAAGTCTATTCACTGGACTCGGAGAAGGGCGGCCAAGAGAACCGCGGCATGGTTCTCTGCGGCCTAGTCCGGCGCGGGAATATTTCCATCGGCGACGAAATGGTCATTGGCCCCATCTTAGTGGACGTTCCAAACGATCTAGGCAATGAGCCCCAACCACCCGAAGGGTCACTGTCCCGCAGTGGGCCCGGCCCGCCGGGTGATTTCCCGGCCTCCTTCCCGCAGACTTCCTTGTCCGGTAAAGATTCCCAAGCAAGATGGCAGCGTATCCGCGTTGTCAGCGTAAGAGACCTCCGGCTTCCTGTCCGCCGCCTAATTAGAGACCAAGTCGGAACCATCGGAATCGAACCCATCGGGGTTTCAGACGATGGCCGTCTACCGCGTTTCGGCCGGATCCGCAAGGGCATGATTCTCTCGAACTTCCACGACCCACACTCGCACTCGAATGGTACCTCATTACTAGCGCTCCCCTTTCACACGGGCTTTACCGCTACCTTCCGGTCCACTGAGTTCTCGGCTCCAAATTCACCTCCACTCTTGCTTGGCGGTAACGCCATTGCCTACATCGCCAATATCCGAGCTACCGTCCGTGTCATTTGCATGGCGTTAACTGGGCCAGGCGAGGACATATCTTCCGAACCGGGTTCCCCGTCAGAGCCTGAATTCTTCAGCTTTGACGGCGATCCTCATTCCCCTAGTGAGAAATCAAACGGCAGTACGATACCAAGCAATACCGAGGGCGGCGCACGTGATGTACTTCGCCGCCGTCCCTCGGCAACAGATATCAGCAAAGTAGTGTCTGGCATTTCGTCTGCTTCCATTGTCGGAGCTGCTTCTTCCGCAGAAGCCCTGAAAGAAGACGTCAAGATTACCTTTGCGCTGGTGTCGTCTGTTGAATGGGTGGAACTTGGCTCTCAGGTTCTCGTTATGCCTGGTGTTTCCATGGCCTCTGCCCCGTCCCATTCTGGGGCTACGGTAGCGTCTGCGCCTGGTTCTAGCTCTGCTTCTGGGACGCTGTCCATGTCGGGTTTAGAAGGGTTTGTGGGGACTGTCTGTGAGATTGTTCCTGGGAGAGTTCCAGTTGCGGAGAGCTAGACTAAAGTCTTGCAAATATCTCGCGGCAATTGATGACATACTTCTTCTCTATTTTTTATGAGCGTCTTTTCGAGCCTTCGACCAACCATCTAGCTTTCAATCTTCATAGCGGGTTTATTTTCATTTCATTATCATGTTTGCCAATATTTGAAGTTCGTCGTCGCTAGCAGTTGTCGAAATAAGACACATTACAGAAGTTTCAGTGGCTGAAGGGTGCAATATCATTGTCCTAAGAAAGTGTTGTCGTAGCAATTGACTAGGTTACTATGGATTGTCTCGTATTCTTGGCTTGAGCGCACCGACTGCCCAAAAACAAGACACAAGGCAATTCGGTTGGCAGCAATGCAACGGTCCAACTCGACGGCAAGCAGAGCCCGCGCAATGCTGGTCCACGGCATATAGTTTCTTGATAAGGGGGGGGCATCTTCTCCCAGACACAAGTGGTCAAGAACGCGCAGTGTCCCGTCGGATCCGCTTTCAAATCATCTCTATCCCATTGCAATGTCGTTTTTCGCTTGGGTATTTCCATTAACTTTGCTGATCAGGCGCCACCAAGACGCTCGAATCGACGTCAGACCTATCTACAATTTCATAGGACTGCGTCTCTGGTATTTCTGTGATTGAGCACATTAGCCACCTTTGCGCTGGTCGTTGGGGACACTGGGGTGGCGAGAGAAGGTGCTAGTCGAACCGATAGTAGCGCTGGCATTGCGAAGCTCGATCTTCTTGCGCTCCATCTCGAGCTATATTCCACAGTGTTAACTCGATTTGTTTTGCGATTGATGACTGAGTATATTAGATAACCTACCACTTTGCGCACTCGATTAAGAGCAGCCGTATCGCCCTCCGCAATCGAACGGCAATCATCAACGCGGTAAGGAGCAGCAATTGTCACAGCATCGGCGACGATGATGCTGTGGCCGTTCCATCGCGCCGGCATAGTGCGGCTGAAAGCATCAAATAGGTCCTGGGCCTGAGTAGTGACGCCCTTACCACGACGCGCCTCACGGTCAAGCGCTTCACCGATGGCCTTGGACTCGCGGGCCTTGAGCGCACGGGTGTCGAGTGCCTGAATCGTGGGTTGTGCGTCGGTGAACGAGGACGAGCTGGAATTCGAGGGCGGAGCCAGAGCGAGGAGCTGGAAGTGCTGGATGCGCGAGATGGGGATCACGTGGTAGTCGCCGTTCTGCGCCTGTTTGGCGTCACCAGGGTTGGGTGCGGGGGCCGTGTTGATGGCCACGAGGTTGGTGATCGGGCATGCCGTGAACAGTGTACCTTCGAAAGTGGATTGATTCGGCTGCGATGTAGAAATACGCACTCTAGGAACGCGAGAACGGAATAGGTCAGCGCTGCGACTTTGTAGACACCATCGTTGGCAGATAAGACTCACCGGGCACCGATCGCCCCGCTCAGCGCTGCCTCCAAGGCCACGATGGGTGTCGCCATCCCTGGGCCTGCTGCGTTACCAGATTGTTTCTGCGCAGAGGCCTTTACTGAAACCTGGCGCTTGTTCTCCGCCATAGACCTATAGCTCTAGCCTCCACGTGTGAGCTGCTCGGAGACCACAGTAGGCTGATCCCCCAGGTGAAAGACAGTGCCGTTGACTGTTTATAGTGCAATAGTCAGATCCTATGATGGGGTCAGGACATTGGAAGCAGATCGGCACACGTTGAAGTCGGCTTGCCCTGCGAGGAGCTACTGCACCCCGAATTGTTGGTAGAGGGGCTGGACGGTGCTGTCAATCGGCTCTTCTGTTGAGAAACGAGCGTGGCTCAAGCGGAGCAGGCAAACTGGCACAACCCCAAAAGACGAGAACAGAAAACAAGCACCACGCCCAAACCAGGAATTTATGGAAAAACAATGGGCTTGGGGGCTCGCGATTAGATGGCAGGGTCGACGTTGCACGAATGCCCTTTTAGGCTTAGTGCTAATATTCGATTACTTCATCGTCGCCTCAGGCAACGATCTATAAAATAACATAAATCACGACATCCTCCAGCGATTTTATCATGGACAGAGTGTCGAGATAAACACCTCATGATATAGGGTTGGAAACTTTTACCATTGCATTGTTCATTGGTCCAATTTCTAAAGTACGTAGTCAATCTGTATTGCTGGTATGTGGGTATTGCCCCTCCAGTCCATAACAAACAGTTGTAACTAAAGTACCAATTCTAAATATTCACAAGGAAAGTATCTAAATTGTAAGTTGTGAATTATGAAACTTATTGTAGGAGGGTCAATATGCACTCGAACCCACCTCCTCAAAGGAGATAGTTGTCCATGAGAGATATACTGTTCTCTACCACAATCACGTTGGTACTCAGGGTATTACGAAAAACAAAGTGACAAAGACAGCTGAATATACAAGATTGTTTTGGCATCGCTTTTGAGACATTAGATACAAAGTGGTCGTTCGAAGATATGTGCCAGAGCTTTTTCTTCTCGGGCGTCACACCAAAGCCGTCTATGACGGTGAGGCAGTGTGCAAATAAAATAGGGTATTGTTAAAGTTGCCGTAGGTTCAAAGAAATGCGTCCCGGGGATCAACACAGCAGCACGTCGCACAACGCCTAATTGCATGGAAGCAATAAAGGTTGTCAATGAGCTCAGTCCTAGTGTTCGGCAGTAGTTCAGCCAGAAGCGGACAGCTGCGCCAGCAAGTAAGCCTTTAATTGCCAATAAGTGGGAGGCAAAGAAGCTAGGAGCATGATTCGTAGACCTGAGGCGAGAAAACCTGGCTGGACAAGATTGTATGGTGTCAAGGAAATGGCATAAAAAAAGACCAATAATGGCAAGACATATTATATCTTGCGGAAAGTGTTGCCCGAAGCACTGCGGCGTTCCTTGGCTCGGAACGATGTGTCGGTCTTGTCGTAGCGCACTTCGGGGGCAGCGCGCTTCGGCTTCCCGGCCGGGTTGAAGCTCATCTCTTGCTCGCCGACTACACCAACCCGTCGTGCAGGCTTTTGTTTCGACTTCATATTCTGTGCACGAGAGCCAAAGGAGCGGTCTCGGGTGGAATTGGCTTGATTCGAGGAAGATACTTGCATACGAGGCGGAGGCCGCTTCGTCCGCTTGTAGTCTGCAGAAGAAATCTTTTTGGAGACTGCTGCCTTCACGGGCTTTTCCGCTTCGTTGTCGGAATCGGAGTCGGAGCTTGAGCCAGGCACTTCGTCGATGGCTTCTTGCTCGACTGCCGTCAAGCCACGCTCCTTTCTCGAAGCTGATGGGGCAGCGGCCTGGGGAACCGTACTGGGGTTCAGCAACTGGAATTCGCGTGAAGTCTCGTCGACAGCGAAATCTTGGTCCTCGAACAGCTGGGCGAAACGGCCACCACCCAACACCTTGTCCTCGCCAGTTGCAGCAGCATCGACCATTTCCTGGTCGCCCGAGCCTTCCAATAGACGTTTGGCATGCTTGCGCTCCCTCTTCTCCTCCGCGTTCAACATCCTCTCGGCCAGTCTCCTGTTCACCTTGACAGCAACCTTCTTCTTGCCGCGGATGCGGCTCTCCCGCTCCTTGTTCATAATCTCAGCCACCTTCTTCGCTCTAGGGTTTTCTGTGTCGGGGAACAACGAAGTAATAGAGTTATAAACAAAGTTCGACACTTGATAACCCTTAGAGTAAGGTACCATCTTTCCTGACTGCATGTAAGCTGCCAAATCAATGGGATCTCCGCCTGCCTTGATGAGCTTGGCGTCCCATTTGGCGACCTCTTCACTGGGCACAAGCGTGAAACCGGGCCAGACAGAACCAGATTGAGCAGACTTGAATGCGCTGGGGTCATTTGGATCCTCGGCCATTTCTTCAACCAGGTTGTCCAAGAATGAGCACCATTTTGGCGCGGGGCCAAGCTGCGGAATGAAGAATGAGTGTTGCTGTCGGCCTTCGTTGGCTGTGAGGAGCATGCCGCTATCCTTGCACCAAGCAACAGAGTTGATATCCACAGCCGGTTCAACAGAAGTCCAAGGTTTTTGATCTTCGATGTCCCAGAGTTTGATGATGCGCTTATCGGATGAAAGCAATTTCGGTTCGATTGTCGCAGCTTGTGTTGCAGATGACGGCTCGAGGAATTGGAGAGTGTGAATAGGGAACCCGTATCCTTGGTCCTTGACCTGGAAGGGAACGGGTGAACGCAAGTCGTAGAGGTGAATTAGACCATTAGACGAGCCGGTTCCGAGGCTCATTCCGGAGCGATTGAAATCTAGAGCTGTGATCTCTGATCGCCCATCGTGTAGTCCAAGTTGTGTGGGTGTAGACAGCACACCTGCACGTCCCTTGGCTCTAGGATCCCATAGCTCAACTGTTCCCAATGAAGTTCCGAAGGCCAACAAATTGTGGCTCTGCTCCGCAATAGCACCAGTGTTGACCGCTCCCGTGTTGATTCCACCTTGGAGAGTTCCGCCACCAGTGGATGTAAAATCGTCACCTCCGACGTCAACCTCAAAACTCCGCATGTATCGTCCCAACTCCAAGTTCAATCGGTATACCTCTCCCATGCCATCTTGATTAACACCGACTGCAGGAACAAGCACTTCAGTCGACTGGCGGTCGTAGACAAGGTCACGTCCATATCGGGGAAGTCTGGTAGTGTAGTGACAGCCCGAGGGAGTGTGGAACTCGAGAGATCGATCAGACTGGAGGTGGAGGGACTTGGTGTAATCGGAGGACAGTAGGATGAACGTGGTGTTGAGCGAACTAGTATGACGCGCCCATGAGAGAGATAATTGCGGAAGGTAGTGGGTGTGGATTTGTGGCTTGTAAGTTCCTGCAAATAATAGTGTTAGGTATGCGCTCTCAGGAAAAGATGGGGATTAGTACGAACCTGTGCTCATGACCCAATCTCCATCCTCACTGACTCGGATACAATGACTTGCTTCCTCAAATTCAAAGTCTTGCAGTAATTCAACTCGATTGGCATACTCGGGGTCATTTTTCAAGCTGCGCTTGCGCCGTCTAGCAAGCCATTCGGGAAGCGGGCGAGCACTGTCGGAACC